GAGACCTTACCTACCAGTTCTCTGAGTTTTAGTCTGCTTTTTTGAAGTTCATTGTCCTTGTTCTGCTGCTTTCACTACTTCCTTTCCTTAGAATTACAAAATTTATCATTTCATGATCCAAATTGCCTTCAACCTTCAGATTCTCAACCAGTTCCTCCCCTATTGGTTAGAATCAAGTCCAAAATGGCTGTCCTCCTGGTTACTGCCTCCATTTTCTGAAACAAAAAGCTGTCCCAATACATTCCAAAAACTTATTGGAAATTTTGTGTTTTGACATATTACTTTTCCAACAGATGTCTGGGTAGTTAGCCCCACATTACTACTTTGGTCTTGTGTTTTGGATATATCTGTTTGTTCCAGAAATGCCTCATTCACCTCTGTAACAGGGTTTCCTCTCCACTCGTGGAACCTCCTGCTGGTCGCTCTGGAGATTAGCTCTGTCTCATGCTGTGCCCTCCTCAGCAGTCTCTTCACCTGTCATCTTCTCTCTGAATGCAGCCTCTCTCACTCTCGGTGCTGCCGCTTCTGGTCTGTGGATTGGCCCTCTGACCAGGTCACAAAGTCCCTCCCCTTCCAAGGAAATCACAGTTTTTCTGGATCAGCTGTCCGGCGGGCATCTCTTAAACCCTGAACAACTACCCTGTAGCTAGTAAGGGAACCCAGGACTATCCTCTACACTGGGTTCCAGCTCAGGGACCCTATAACATGCAGCCTGGGCCTGTGCTGCCTTTCACCTTGCTGCTGTTTCCCTGGGCTTTTTCCTAGCTAACTGGCTCCCTTCACCCTGGATTTGCCAGCTTCTCCACTCCCTCCTCTCAGGGAGTCGGTGCAGCCTGCCTTCCTCCAGCCTCAAATACTCTCGTCCCCCTTTCCAGGGAGTGACTGCCCTTTCCTAGCCACGGCCCTCCTCTCTAGCCAACTACCGGCCTTTCTAAAGGTCCTGTCCTGTTCATGCCAAGATGAGCCCATTCCTCCTCCATTAGCTCCCTGCCTTGCTGCCTAATTAGTAGCTTGGACACATCTGGCCCCACCCAGCTCTTGCCAGGCCAGTGTGGGTGCACACCCAATCACAACCTCCTGTTCCTGATTTAGTGGTCTCTAGTAGACCCTACCATGACATCTCCCCTATTTTTTCCCTTTTATCTTGACCCATAGATTTTCAAGCGCTTTATTTCTCACCTCCTTCTGGACCTCAGAACAAGTGGATATGTTTTTTTTATGTATATTGCAACACCACCTCCCTTTTTATCCTGTCTGGCTTTCCTGAACAAGTGATATCCCTCTATACCAATATTGAAGTCATGAGACTTATCCCACCAGGGCAATTAAGTCAGAATTTAGCCTATATACTAATACTTCTGGTTCTTCTAATTTATTCCCCATACTCCTTGCATTTGTGTATAGACATGTAAGATGTTGAGCAGATTCCCCTACTGCTTTCTTTCATGTTGCTTCTATGACTTTATTGTGATTTTCCATGTCTCCCCCTCTCTGCCCCACACATCTAGCCCTCTGTTGATCTGCCTGGACACCTGGCTCCTTGCTCCAGGGACCCAACACAGGAGTTGGCACTACTCCTCCCAGGCACAGGCAACTGGGCAACAAAATAGCAGATTAAATTCAGTGTTGACAAGTGCAAAATAATATACATTCAAAAACATTATCCCAACTATGTATACAAAATGATGGGGTCTAAATTGGCTGATACCATTCAAGAAACAGATATTGGGGTCATCGTGGATAGTTGTCTGACATCTGCTCAATGTGCAGTGGCAGTCAAAAAAGCTAACAATTTTAGAAACCATTAGGAAAAGGATAGATAACAAGACAGGAAAATATCATAATCACACTATATAAATCAATGGCATGCCCACACCTTGAATACTGCATGCAGTTCTGGTGGCCCCATCTCAAAAAAGATATATTTAAATTAGAGCTGTCAAGTGATTAAATAAAGGAAGCATGCAATTAATTGCAGTGTTAAGAATAGAATACCATTTATTTAAATATTTTTGGATGTTTTCTACTTTTCAAATATATTGTTTTCAATTACAATTCAGAATACAAAGTGTACCGTGTTCACTTTATATTTATTTTTTATTACAATATTTGCACTGTAAAAAAACAAAAAATAGTATTTTTCAATTCACCTAATACAAGTACTGTAGTGCAATCTCTTTATCATGAAAGTTGAACTTACAAATGTAGAATTATGTACCAAAAAACTGCATACAAAAATAAAACAATGTAAAATTTTAGAGCCTGCAAGTCCACTCAGTCCTACTTCTTGTTCAGCCAATCGCTCAGACAAACAAGTTTGTTCACATTTGCAGGAGATAATGCTGCCCACTTCTTGTTCATAATGTCACCTGAAAGTGAGAACAGGCATTCTCCTGGCACTGTTGTAGCCACCGTCGCAAGATATTTATGTGCCAAATGCTCTAAAGATTCATATGTGCCTTCATGCTTCAACCACCATTCCAGGGGACATGCGTCCATGCTGATGACGGGTTCTGCTCAATAACAATCCAAAGCAGAGCAGACTGATGCATGCTCATTTTCATTAGCTGAGTCAGATGCCACCAGCAGAAGGTTGATTTTCTTTTTTGGTGGTTCAGGTTCTGTAGTTTCCTCATTGGAGTGTTGCTCTTTTAAGACTTCAAAAAGCATGCTCCACACCCTGTTCCTCTCAGATTTTGGATGACACTTCAGTTTCTTAAACCTTGGGTCCAGTGCTGTAGCTATCTTTAGAAATCTCACATTGGTACTTTCTTTGCGTTTTGTGAAATCTGCAGTGAAAGTGTTCTTAAAATGAACAACATGTGCTAGGTCATCATCCAAGACTGCTATAACATGAAATATATGGCAGAATGCAGGTAAAACAGAGCAGGGGACATACAATTCTCCCCCAAGAAGTTCAGTCACAAATTTAATTAACACATTCTTTTTTTAACGAGCGTCAGCTTGGAAACATGTCCTGGAATGGTGGCTGAAGCATGAAGGGACATATGAATGTTTTGTATCCGGCATTGCAAGGTATTTATGTGCCAGATATGCTAAAGTCCCATGCAAATGCCTGTTACCACTTTCTGATGACATTGCAAATAAGAAGAGGACAGCATGTAAATGTAAACAAACTTGTTTGTCTTAGCAATTGGCTGAACAAGAAATAGAACTGAGTGGACTTGTAGGCTCTGAAGTTTTTGTTTGTGAGTGCAGTTACGTCACACAAAAAATCTACATTTGTAAGTTTCACTTTCATGATAAAGAGATTGCACTACAGTACTTTTATGAGGTGAACTGAAAAACACTATTTCTTTTGTTATTTTTACAGTGCAAATATTTGTAATAAAAATAATATACACTTTTATTTCAATTACAACACAGAATACAATATATATGAAAATGTAGAAAAACATCCAAAATATTAAATAAATGTCAACTGGTATTTTGTTGCTTAACAGTGCGATTAAAACTGCGATTAATCACGATTAATTTTTTTGAGTTAATCGCATAAGTTAACTGCAATTAATCAACAGCCTTAATTAAAATTAGAAAAAGTAGAGAAAGGCAACAAAAATTATTTGGGATATGGAACAGCTTCCATATGAGGAGAGATTAAAAAGAGTGAGACAGTTCAGCTGAGAAAAGAAATGACTAAGGGAGGATGTGACAGAAGGCTTATAAAATCATGAATGGTGTGGAGAAGGTGAATAATGAAGTGTTTTATCCCTTTATATAACACAAGAACCAGGGATCATCCAATGAAATTAATAGGCAGCAGGTTTAGAACAAACTAAGGGAAGTACTTCTTCACACTACACACAGTCAACCTGTGGAACTCCTTGCAAGGGGATGTTGAGAAGGCCAAAAGTATAACTGGAGTCAAAAAAGAATTAAATAAGTTCGTGGTGGACAAGTCCATCAATGGTTGTTAGCCAAAATAGTCAGGGACACAACCGCATGCTCTGAGTGTCCTTAAACATCTGACTGCCAGAAGCTGGACTGGACATCGGGATGGATCACTCAAGAATTGCCTAGTTCTGTTCTTTCCCTCTGAAATATCTGGTACCAGCCACTGTCAGAAGACAGGATACTGGGCAAAATGGACCATTGGTCTGACCCACTATGGCCATTCTTATGTTCCAATAACTCACCCGTTTTCCTGTCCTGTCACAGGCCTTTATAGCCCCATGTGTAGCCTGTCTCCTTTAATCGGTTCAGTTCAGCCTACCTGCTCTGACACAGTGGAGCTGTGCGTCGTTCACTCACAGGGCCCAGCTACTCTGTGGCACCACCATAGTGTCCATTAGCGAGGCCCTGATCCTGCAAACATTACCCTGGGACTACTCACTTGAATAAAGTTACACATATGCTTAGGTATTTTCAGGGCTTCATTTCTCCCTTACTGAAAAGACTTTTAAAACATCAGTAGGGGTGCAGTGAAAAACCCTTAAATCTTTTTAAAAATAATATTATATAATGAGGACATATTATTTAAAGGATGTTCTGTCAGAAATCTGGATGTTTTGAAATTAGTCCCTTTGTGGAGATATTTGAGAACATTTATATGAGATTAACAGAAATCAAATGTATCCTAATTCTGAGCATTTAGGGTCAAATTCTCTCATTTATCAGAGTAACTCCATTGAAGTCAGTAGAGTTACTCTGATAACTGAAAGGAAAATTTGACCGTTATTATCTAGAATCCAAGTACAAGTACATATTTTTTGATTAACCTTCAAATACTTTGAATTGTTATATTCATGATCTATGTTCTATTTTTCAAAGGAAAGATACACAAGCAATTGTATTTGTTTTAAGCTGCTTTGTTTCTGAAATTACTATCTTGGCAATTCAGGATACTGAAGCAGGGTTGTAATTAGATCAGCATGTTAACAAATTGTTCTTTGGAGTATGATAAATTTTATTTAACTTGAAAATGCAACATAAAAAACCCAACCCACTAATTGGTTACTTTGTGTTCTCCTCTGTTTCAGATTGTGTCTGGACAAAATGTTTGTCCTAGCAACAGCACAGGAAGTCCATGCATTGAAGTTGATGTACTTGGGATGTCTCTGGATAGCTGCCATTTTCGCACAAAACCCATTCATCGCAATACTCTCAACCCCATGTGGAATGAACAGTTTCTCTACCGGGTTCACTTTGAGGATCTGGTCTTTCTTAGATTTGCAGTTGTTGAAAACAACAGCTCAGCTGTAACTGCTCAAAGAATCATTCCACTAAAGGCTCTAAAAAGAGGTAAAATACAATTTGCACTAAGTTTGTACACAGTGCCTAGATCCTGAGTTATGACTGAGAGTGCTCAGTATCACTTGGTGGGAAGTATTTAGTTCTGGGGCCATCTGTCTCAGATGTCAATTAGAGCATTTTCAGCACTCGATTTATGCTGTGCTGGCTACCCTTTGCCCCCCAGAGGCCATTCCAGGAACTTGTGATTACTAGGGCAGAAAGATGTCCTACCCATGCCCCCTTTTCCATGGCTATGCACAGTGCACCAATGGCTGGGAAAGGTGGGGGGCAAAGTTTAGGGGTGCTACAGTAACTGTCACCTAGGATTTCCTCTAGACCAGGAAATCCTGAAGAGGGGTGGTCAAGTTGGTCTCAGGTCTATCTTGTGCCACTGTGGTAATACAGAGTAGTCTTATCCTTCTGGATGATCTGGTCCATTACGTTCATTGTCCAGGATAAAAATAAATATTTCTTTGCTGTTTAATACTTGTAATTTATTTTGTTGCTTTCATGAATGAATGTATTTTGTACACAAAAGAAGGAATGACGTCAGTGGAAGTTAAGGATATTCAGTCTCCTGAGGTACTCAGCACCTCATAGGATCATTCCCATGTTGTTGCTCAAACAGGAATTTTAATTCAAATCATTACAGTGCTTTAATAGTTCAGGCATAGCAAAATCTTAGATGCTCAAGCTTTCAACTTTATAAATCATGTATTCCACTTTAACATAATATGCTTGACAAGTTTTCTCTGCCCCAATGACATATTGTTTTAGGGTATAGACATCTCCAGCTACGAAACCTACACAATGAAGCCTTAGAAATCTCAAGTTTATTCATAAACAGTCGGAGGATGGAAGAAAATCCCTCTGGGAATGTTGTGCCTACCTCTTTGGTAATTTATTTTATGTGAATATCAAATATATTTGTTCATGTGTTCCAAATGACTAATAAACTGTTACAGTATGTCGGAGATATACTTTTATTGGATAATATCTTTTATTGGACCACCTTCTGTTGGTGGAGACAAGCTTTCAAGCTACACAACTTGTCTCTGTCTCTTCCGTCAACAGAAGGTGGTCCATATAAAAGATATTATCTCACCCATCTTATTTCTCTCAGAGCCTGGGACCAACCAGCTACCACACTGCATATTACAATAGATAGACACTTAGTACCATTTTTTTAAACACTCAGGGCTTGTCTACACAAATATTTAGTTCTCGGCAAGCTGGAGTGTGAATCTACCGTGCACTAGTCTGCCATGGACTAACTGTCCCTGTGGATCCTGCGGACCTGCTTTAAAGGTTAGTTAATGAGCTTTGATCTAGATCACATTAGTAAACTGGTCATGTGTGTCAGCAGGGTAGATTCACACTCCAGCCTGCCATGAACTACATTTTATGTAGACAAGCCTTGAGTGTTGCAATGTTTAATTTCTAGGCACCCTACCACCCAGTGAAATCCTCAGTCCCAAGTTAAGTGCCATATACAATCCATAGGGAGAGTTAGCTGCCTACAATGGGATTCACAGAAGCCAGCAAGCTGAGCGAGGAGCCACCTAAGCCAGTAATTAGGAAATGCTGTGGAGACAGTGTGGCTTGAGCCCAGCCCCTCATAGGTAGTTAGGTGCCGAACTCCAGGCTTGAGGGAAGTGCCTGTCTGCTCTCAGGATTCACAGCCATGAACCCTCTCCCAGACTAAGGGCTGACCTGGCTGAAGCGTCTTTCTCACAAAAAACAAAAGGGGAGAGAGAGAGACTTTCCAGCCCATGATAGGCAATAGGTGAGTGGTCAGGGCACTCATCTGGGACATGGGGGGCCTCTTTTCAAAACCCTGCTCTGTCTGATTTGGAGCAGGGATTTGAACTTGTCTCCCATATACCAGGTAACCACTAAACTATAGAGTCAATTTCTAACTCTCTCTATCCCAGTGAATATTTAATTGTTTATACAAAATGGAGTAGCTTCAACAGGAGAGATGGAGAGTGACCCACCTGGTGGTTTGGGCACTCACTTGGGATGTCAGAGACCTGGGCTCAGGTCCCTGCTCTAAATCAAACAGAGTGGGGATTTGAAAACACATCTTCCACAGCCATGGTCAGTGCCCTAGATATTGGGTATTCTGGAGGACACAGACACATGCCCCAAAAACTCCTGAACTGGTTATCCCAAACTGGTAGGCCCAGTCTGGTAGGCATACTCCAAGACAACCTGCTGGATCAGAGCCCCCTGGGGAATGCCTAGTTTGATGAGCTACAGCTCTGAGCAGCAAAACAGCGTCTGGACGAGAGTTGGGTGGAATTTTTTTATCAAATAGTAAATTGACAAAAAAAATAATGGATTTTTGGGCCTCACAAATTCAGGTAGAATTCAGCAAAAAATGTTGGTCCAGAAATTGATTTTCTTTTAAACAGTCAAAATGATTTGGTTTGATCCTTTTGAAACACAGTTTTATGTAGAAATTTAGCTATATTTATTAAAACACAGCAAACAAACATAGCAAACACCCCAAAACAAAATGAGCGGTTCTCCTCCTTCCCAATTAGTTTGAATTTGGGAGTTTTTTTGTTTTGGGATATTTTTAAATCTGAAATTATTTTTTATTTTGGTGAGAAAACCAGAAAAATTCCGTTTTGATTTAAAATTAGGTATCAATTATTCATTGAGCTCTAGTCAGGAATTAGGCAGTTTTGTGCCTGTTCAGTAATGGGAACTTAAGAGTGCTAAGAAACTTCACCAACAGAAACTCAGACACCTACAGAGTTAAGTGGCAGTTGAACAAGGGGTTTGAAGATCTCCTGGCACCCAAATGTTAGACCTTGCCACCAAAAGTGGCAGTTAGCTGTGCCACAGTGATTCTGAAAAACACAGTAGGTGTCTATCTGCATCTTTAGGTGCCTAAATACATTTGAAATTCTGGCCTTTGAGGCATATCTATAGATTTCTCCTTATATTATATCTTTATCAATAATTTTAAGGCTATATACGGTTAAATGCCAAAAAGTTTAATCAGCTATATCAGTGATACTCAGAGACTTCAGTGGTTCAGGAGCCAAATTAGCGAGCAATATTACCCAAAAGAGCCACAGTAGTGTGAATTCATTGTTTCATTTACTATAATATTATTCATAGTTAAACAGGACAGGGGAAATATTTTGTGTGTGTATATATATAAAAATTATCAGAGCAATTAAGTTAATAACTTAATCGGTTAATAACACGGTAAAAGCATCCTGCTTGGTTAATAACTTAGATTGGTTAACAATGAAATCACACCGTGATTTAATATCATGTGCTGAAAAGAGCTGCATGAGAAACATTAAAGAGCCACTTGTGGCTCTGGAGCCTCAGACTGACTGAGCTAGATTCTTGTGTCTGGGAGAAAAGTTGTCTGTCCAGTGTCTGTTTCCTTATAAATGTATCAAATTAGCAGTTCAGTTGAGACCAAAAGTTATGTAAGTCACAGACAATTGCTTCTGTGTCTGAGACGAGATGGCTCTTTGCAGTGTTATAGCTGTGTTGGTCCCAGAATATTAGAGAGACAAGGTGGGTGAAAAAGTGGGAAGGTAATAGAACTCTAATAGGAAAAGGGGCCTCAACAGGGGTATAATCTGTATAAAGCAGCTCAGAGTGCTAGACTTTTATTTATTTGAAAATGCATGATTAATCCCATTGCTGATGCCTAATGTATATAATATGTCAAACAAAACATAGCTCCTGGCTATCCCATGTGCAAAAGGCATCAGCAGAACAAAGGCTAATTAATAACCCACCAAGAAGAAGTATATTTTATATACATACTCATGGATTTTAAGGCTAGAAGGGGCCATTGTAATCAACTTGTCTGACCTTATTCATTAACCATAAAACTTTACCCAGTAATTACTGCATTGAGCGTAATAACTTGTGGTTAACAGACATCCAGTAATGGAGAATCTAGCAGATCCTTGGGTAAGGTGTTCCAATAGTTAATTACCCTCACTGTTAAACATTTGTGCCTAATTTCCAGTTTGAATTTTTCTAACTTCAACTTCCAGTCATGAGATCTTGTTATGCCTTTGTCTGCTAGACTGAAGAGCATGCAGGTACTTATAGAACGTCTGTGCATTTTCTGTGAGACCTATAATAGTATGCCTATATATCTGAAAAAAATATTAACTGTCTTTTGAACAGTTGTTTAGCATAGAAGAGAAGAGAACTTCAAAGTTGTACAAAGTCACAATACATGGAATTCCAGGCCCTGAACCCTTTACTGTTTTTACTATAAGTGAAGGGACTACAGCAGCACAGCTTCTTCATCAAGTAAGTATGTCCACTTGCCCTAAAAAGGTCACAAGAATCCATAGTAACCAGCTACGTGCTGGGCAGTATCTGACCTTCCTACTTTTATTTGGAATCATTACATTTAATAAAATGGATGCATTAACAAATATATTTTTTATCACTTTAAAGGGTAAGAGATTATTTTGTATATCTGTTTGCTAAGGAATTAATTGAACAGTTAAGATATCAGTGAAGTTTTCCAAATCTTGACCATTAGGTAATGATTTTTAATCTATGAAATGCAATTCAGTAACAAAAATATATTTAAAATTTAGTTTTCTTTTTGCAGTCCTACAGTTTGAATTAATCAATATGACAAAAAATAATTAGCTAAAATTACAAGAGTCTACATTTTATTACAAGGAGCTGCATATGGTTAATTATCTAATGACAAATTATATCCTATGTTTCTTTTCGGTTTTGTATATATTCAGTGTCACAGCTCCTCTAGTGGTTTTAATGACCATTGTGAAGTTCATTATAAGAATTCCTCATTGCCATACTACCTTGGGCTGTGAGTTAAACAAAGGGAGAGTTGGACTTGGTCAGTACTTAGAAGGAAAACAGGGTTCTTTGGTGACTGGTGATTCTGTAGTTGGTGTTCTTCTTGAATCAGTGCTGAACCAAACCTGCAGCCTGGTGTAGAGTGTAGTTTGCTGTTGGAGATGCTGTCTTTGAAATGCAAAATTGAGGTCAGGATCACCTGTAGTTATTAAATAACATGACGTTTTACCTACTATTAGAGGTGGTCTTGCTATGTTACTATTTGGTACCTACTTAAATGTACAGATTAATTTGGCTTTATAGAAGTCATATATGTAATTTGGGGTCTTTGGAAATTAATATTTTATTATTAAAAAAATTTAAAATAACCAGAATTTTAGGAATTGAATATAAGCTTTTTCAAATCACCTTGACTTGATCTTAGCATACAGTTTGTGAACTATTTAAAAGACAAATGCCCTTGTTCCTGTGGGTTGTTGTTGCACAAAGCTGCCTAAAGCTGGTTTAGCTGGTCACTGTAGAGGAATCCTGTGGTTAGGTACAGCCATTGTAGTGCATTCTCCAACATAGATTGGAGCCAGCCCTGAAACCTCTAATTTACCAAGGAACTCTTTTTGGGGAGATGCAAAGCCCCAGAATTGGGAAGCACATAGGTAACTTAAATGCATGCATCTTCTTACACACTAAAACTAAATCATGCTAAACTAAATTAACTATTACTGCTCAAGAAAGAGATTTTGGAGTCATTGTGGATAATTCTTTGAAAACACCCGCTCAGTGTGCAATGGCAGTCAAAAAAAGCTAACAGAATTTTGGGAAAGTGATAGATAATAAGACAGAAAATATCATAATGCCACTATATAAATCCATAGTAAGCCTACATCTTGAATACTATGTGCAGTTCTGGTGGTCCCATCTCAAAAAAGATATATTAAAATTTGAAACAGTGCATTGGGCACCAATAGTGGAATATATAGAGACCGCACATCTCAAAGAACAACAGTTACCATACGCTAGGTAGCTGTTTCTTACTAAGAAGGTGTAATGATCCTCTGTGTGAAAGAATGTCACAATATGTCACAATATTAAAATGAAGCAAGGGTGACCCATGTCAAGGGTGATGACATTTCAGTGTTAGGACATGGCAGAATGACTCAAATCCCAGTCTAAGGGAAGAAAGTGCAGTGTCCTGAAACTGCCACAATACCTGTGCAATTATGTACCAACTGAATGCTGTTTTCAACATACAACCAATTTTTCTGCAGTTCTCTGATGATCATTGTCATTAGGAATCAGCTAAAATGAGGAATAATCTGAAGCTTCGTGCAAAATTCAGACTGAGCCATGGTTTGAAAAGTTTTGATTACATGTAACATTTTTCCACAATATTTCCAGGATCTAGCCAGGAGCAGAAGGTTCTTGAGGTGTTTCTGATCTATCCAGAAACAATTTAATGAGAATGTCCAATCTACCCTTCAAATCCCTTCCTCGCAGGATTTTCTGTCAGGGGTATTGTAGGCTATTAAATGTGATTGGACCAGTTTGAGAAAATACTAATTGCTTCTGAGCAACAGCTGAACATGAAGTTAAAGCTGGATAACGACAAAGGTTTTTCTCTGGTGCTGAAGATCTGTTTGGACACCATATTGCCTATCACTATTTTAATGTTTGGGCAAACAAAGATGAGAGCTTTTTGAATAGTGGGTTAGACTGGTTGCCCTTGTATGACACTTTTCTGTTTAATTCTTTGAATATTCTAGAAATACAAAGTAAATGTTAAAGGGCTTAGTTCATGAGCAGAAAAACCTGAAACAGATTAAGTCAACAGGAGTTGTTATTTCATCAGTGGGAAAATTTTGTACTGTCTTGGGATTATGAATAAATTGACCAGCCAAACTGGACAGGCATAAATTCAAATAGTATTGCTTTGTCTGGAATAGTTGAACTGTTTGGGTAATCTAAAGAGAACTGTATATTAGTTATGAGTAGCAGATCAGAAATACTTGTCTACACCACCAGAATTAACTAATTGATCATAGAAGCTTTTTGTGTACACATTCATTCATAGCTACTAAACACGTACTGTTTATGTCTAGCATTCTAATAGTTGTGTATGTGTTGTGGTTCTTTCTCAGATTTTGGCTACCACAAAAAGCACTGAATCACGTGCTCCTGATTATTTTCTGATGGAGGAAAAATGTTTTATATCTAAAGAAAAGACTGAGTGCAGGAAACCACCGTTCCAGAGGGTGATTGGCCCTGAGGAGGGGCTAGTACAGCTTTTGAACAGCTGGTTCCCAGAAGAAGGATATGTTGGAAGGATTATCTTTAAAACCCAAGAGGAAGTAAGTCTGTTCTGGAAAAACTGTCATTTACATACATAGCTAAAAATAATGATCACAAGAGGGACAATAAGAGCATCACATTTGCTTTGCTAACTGGAAGTTAATCTTATTCACCACCCATAGCATTAACAGAGGACAGCTGAGCACTGTCAAGTTTTATGCACCTATCATTTAGTATACCTCTGCAAAGACAGATATACTTTCACACAGCCCTGTTGATCTCTAAAATGCAATACATCATTGTTGTTATTTAATATTTGTATAAATCAGAATCAGGCCATTATTGTACGAGGCACTGTACCAAAAAAAATACACTCCCTGCCCCCAAGGAGTTTAGATTTTTAATAGTGATTAGATATGAAGGGATGGCAAATATAAGGAATGAAAGGAGTAAGGTGGGTGAGGGTCGTAGCTGTCGGAACACTAGATTGCAATTATTAGAAAGAGTATTCTGTGCAGACAGCAAGGCTTTTTCTTATTTAAATTGCTAATTACCTTTTAGATAAAGAACCTCAGCAACTGAGAGGATGGGAAAGTTGTTGTCCGTGACAAAATGGGGGAGGAGGCGGGGTTCTAGAGGAAGAGATGTAAGTTTTAGCTGCTGTCAGTCAGGACATCCATGAGATGCTCTCAAATACAGGGATTAGGGTGCAGGGAGAAGAGTCAGAAGTAGAAAGGCACCTAATGAAATGACCCGGTTTTCAGGAGTACTGACACCTGAAACTCCTGTTGGTAAGTTCAGCACTCAGTGGCACATAAATTTTGTGTGTGTATGTGTTTTAAATAAGTGGGTTTTTTTAGGTGGAAAAGCTCTTGGGATGTTTGAGAATGAAAAGTTCTGACAGTGCAAATTTTATTTGATAAATTTGCAGAGAAATATTTTTACCCCTTTACTGTTTGTACAGTTCTTCTGTTGCACCTTGGTTTCGTAAAATCTTTATTGCACATCTTTTTTCCTAGCCTCCAATCCAATCTTATTTTGGTGCATTTACTTCATCCTCCACAAAGCAAAAGGTTACCCAGGTGTGCATTTGCTTGGGGGAACAATTGTGCTTTTTCGGTTGAAGGCATTATTTTGAGTTTTGTGTGAGCAGCTAGGTACATGAATTAATGCATGAGCCCTTCACTTCAGAAAACATAGGTCAAAATCCATCTTAAATCATAACTGAAAACTAGTGTGAAGGTTTTGTTTTAGTCGTCATGGGACACTAGTCACCATCAAAACACCTTTACAGTTTGGCACAAATCCAGAGGTGGCAGTCTGTTCTAGGCAGTGGAAGTGCATTAACTTTCCCATTAGGTGACGTAAGACCCTTTTAAAAATCAAACCTTTAGGTCACTTTTCTTAACTAGTTTTCTAGTTTTGTTTTCTCTTTACATTTTTCTACAGAATTTGAATGGGAGAAACATTTTTCAAGAAGAGAAAGAAGACGCAAACGTTAGCTCTGAAGATGATAGTTTCTTTGTTCAAGTGCATGATGTTTCCCCAGAGCAGCCTCGCACTGTCATCAAAGCTCCCCGCTTTAGCACAGCACAGGATGTCATACAACAGGTAGAAAGCCTTTCTTTCCTGTTTCCACTCAGTAAGTTCCCTGTTCATTTGTTAGAGGTGGGTTCATACAAGAAATGTTAACTGAGTTTTGTTCTCAGTTAAAGAAGTCCTTTGCTTTTGCCAATTTGGACTGAGCATCTACTCAGTAAACACGGAGGGGTATTATGTTTTTAATTTGCCCCTTTTTTTTTTAACAGACTCTTTGCAAAGCCAAGTATTCCTACAGCATTCTGAGTAATCCCAACCCAAATGACTATGTCCTCTTGGAGGAGGTGACAAAAGAGCTAGCAAACAAAAAGTCAACATCTAAGCCATCGCAGAGGATTCTGTCTGATCAAGAGTGTGTGTTTCAGGCTCAGAGCAAGTGGAAGGGAGCAGGGAAGTTTATCCTTAAACTTAAAGAACAGGTTCAGGTAAGTGACTGAAAACTCTTTTGTTGGTTTTAAAAATGGCGTGTGATCAAATATTTGGAATGGCAAGTGAAAACATATTCCTTGACAAGAACATATGTAAGAATGGCCATACTGGGTCAGACCAAAGGTCCGTCTAGCCTAGTATCCTGTCTTCCGACAGTGGCCAGTGCCAGGTGCCCCAGAGGGAATGAACAGAACAGGTCATCATCAAGTGATCTATCCATCCCCTGTTGCTCATTCCCAGCTTCTGGCACACAGAGACTAGGGACACCATCCCTGCCCATCCTGGCTAATAGCCATTGATGGACCTATCCTCCATGAAATTATCTGGTTCATGAACTAGAGACAAGGTGGGTGAGAATGGATGCACTGCGAGAGTGAGAGGAACATTTTAGGCTGAATGTAGCATTAAGCTTCCTTGCAACATAACAGTAAATTCCTGACGAGCCATGCTTTCATAGCCAAGTGGAACTACACTTTTTTGTGCATATACTACTACTACTTACTACTGGTGAGCTAACTTCAGATCTGATCCTGTTATAGGCTGAGGGCTATATCCACAAAAGCTTAGGCTCAGCAATGTAGTGTCTTGTCTTTAAGTGCCCTGACACCATCTAGTGGAATCCTCAGCCCGCAGTGAGATGCCCTAACTCCCTATACAATGCACAGGGAGAGAGATATGCACCAAAAGAATGGAATGCACAAAGCCAGAAAACAGAGCAGGAAGCCAACAAACTAGCCAGTAGGAAATGCAGAGAGGCATGGCCTAATCCCTGCCCCTCAAAGGGCCTTAAGTACCTAACTCTGGGCTGGAAGGGAGGCCCCCAGTTCTCAATTCACAGGCCATGAACCTTGTCCTGGAGTGAGATACCTAAACCAGGTCAACCCTTTCTCACACAAATTGGAGACCACACCCTTATACCCAACAGCCCAACAGTTAGAGACAGTTCAAATCCCCGTTCTGCCTGTGAACTCGGGGGTCTCCCTCTGAGGTGAGTGCCCTAACTACTGAACTGTAGGGTATTCTGGGTGAGAGTTTCAGTTTTTCCTGTTGAAGCTGTTCCACGTTGCTCCAATGAATATTTTATACATCGACTGGAACCTGGGTCTCCTAGGAGACCGCCCAAATCATTGGGCTATAGAGTCAATTTTCACCCTTGAGCCCAATGAATATTTAAATATTTTATACAAAGTGGAACAGCTTCATCAAGAGACCAACCCCAGAATACCCCAGGGGTTAGGGCACTCATCTTGGAGGTAGACCTAGGTTCAAGTGCCTCTTCCACATCCTGGTGAGTAGGGATTTCAACTGGGGTCTCCCACATCCTGGTGACTGGACTATTGGCTACTAAGAGAGAAGGAAGTGCCCTGATCTGGTAGGCATGCTATCCGGTGGCCTTGGAGCACACCTACTGTAATGGGTGAGACAGACTGGGGGAGAGGGATGGTTAGTCTTAGAATCCTGCCAGGCTTTGGTGGCTATCCACACGTCCATGGATGAAGTGGCAGTTGAGCAGGGGTTTGGAGGACCTAAATTGTTGAGATACCCCTGAGTGCTCCCAATATTCATGTCAATGTTTTATTGACCATGCTAGGAGGTGAGAATGCACAAAACTTACAGGAGATGATACAAGATCAGTCACTGAAAGACAGCAGCACAGAGCAAAATGCTATTTTCCCACTAATTTACTTCACCTAATGGACCTAATGTTGTGGATTCCCGGTGCAATCCATACTAGTGAGGGTTGTCACTACTTCTACTGCAACTCTGGGCATCTTACAATACTTTGCTGCTGTAGCTCCCAGCCTGGGACACTCAAAACCAGCCTACATTCAAGTCACACCCTGAAGTCTGTGTGTGCTAGACAGCCCTACCTAGTACAGCAGCTCTGATCCCAGCAGCCTGTCTACAGCCCCATGCTGGTTTCCACCTGCCTTCGTGACAAGCAGCAAGATGACCCCCCACACAGCCACTCCAGAATTTCCCCAAAACCATGTGCTCTGCAATGTCCAGTCCATTCCTGGATAGTTCAGAAAAGTAATATGGTTCCTTTGTTCAAGACACCCAAGCATACCACATTATTAACTTGCGTAAATACACTCCTCTAAACACCGTACTAAGTTCGTTTACAGTAAAAAAAAATAAAATTTATTAACAGATGTTAAGTGATGCCAAGTAAAAGGAATAAAGGTAGAGTTACAAGCAAATAAAAGTGAAAACACCCATCTAAAACTTGATCTAGCAAGGTATAGGCTTTGTTCAAGATGGTTCCTCTCACCAATCTTTCTTCTTCTCAGCCATGGCTGACTTTTCCTCAATCAGGACTTTCTAGAGACGCACAAGGGGCTGGCTTTCTTTATCTTCCTGGATTGAAAGATCTTGGCCTAAGCAGGTTTCTTACCTGTATTGAGTTTACGGAGACTTCAGCCACACTTTAGCTGAAAAACCCATCTTTCTCAGCTTGCTAGAGCTCTGTTCCCTTGTGTCTCTCTAGTGGTGGATGCCAAAAATGGCTTCTTTCTTTGCTTATATCTTCCAAAGCTCAGTTACTTTGTTTCAAGAAGCAGGATGACCTCATGCTGTTCTTCCCTTCTAGTGGGCTTCCCACCCTGCTGCATGTAAATGAACCTTCCATTCTTTTGATTCCACATACAATCAGAATTCACATAGAAGACAGGTAAATAACTGCCTTCTCTCCTGTCTGGGAGGGAATCTGTTTCTCCCCATTTGGCCACAGACTTTAAAATGTAGTATCATTATGAAAGTATCTGTATTTCCTCAGATAGTGTTAATAATAATATTGTGTAGCATTAGTTTTCTGCACACTTACAGTACTATTGTATACAATCAGTTGATTAATTTGCTTATCACTTAAGGTTCAGTCCCTCCCCACACCTTTATAGACCAATAAACCATTGCAATGTATTCTTCTGTGAGGAAGGCAACATGATTGTCTGGTGGTGAAGGACACTCCATTCTGTTTCTCCCCTCATTTGTTAGCTTAATAGCTTTGTTTACCTAATATGTAAAAATGGATCTTCATTTTCTTTGTCTGAAGATTGGGCTGGACAGAGAATCAAATACACCTAAGGCAGACCTATTTAACTAACTCCACCTGACATGCTTGGTTTAAGCACACTTTAGTCATAATTCTAGCATGCATTCATAACTCTTAATACCCACCATGTACATACATCACAAGGATATTAATGATGAGTTATTAGTTTTCAAATGATACCTCAAAGGCATATTTTGTGCAAAGATTATTGCAGTATGTGTAGGGTGTGAATACAGGGGTGCTTAGTATCACAACACCTGCCACTGTAAAACCTAAACCCTTCATTTTTGGTTTTTCAACTGAAAAAGTCCCAGGTTTTATAAAAGCTATTTAATCAGTTTTTAAGCTATTTTCACCCAAAGTCTGGACTGCTAAAGTACGTGAAAATACTGATTATATGAAGAAAATCCAGTACATTACATCAGGTAAATGTGTTTGTTAATAATAAGTTAGTCTAAGTGTAAATGTAATGCAGTGGAGTGGAAGTTACACACACATGGACGCACATGTACATGGGTGCTCAACTCCTAAAACAAAGTACTGCAGATCCTGAACCAGGGAGATGGTGGCTTGGTAACCCAGGTTAGTGCTGACCACTCCCCAAGAGAGGTTGGGGGGCCCAGGTTACTGAATTGCGCTCTCTCTCCTTCCAGAGTGGGAAGCTGGGTCAGAAGTAATCTTACTTTTCTCTATACACTGCTTTTTTCCCCTGTCCTCCTATCACCCTGTATTACCCAGAAAACTGTGAAGTCAATTTTTTGCACCAATTTTCACCTTTTTTTTTTACATTTTTGTAATAAACACCCAGACAATTGTAAACAAAATAAAAACCAAAAACAAAGGGTCTTGTTAAAACCCACTGGCAGGCAGCCTTGGCCCTACTTTACACCATACAAATTCTGCTACAATACCTAGAAATCTTAACCTTTCAGGACCATCTGTCTTAGTTCTCCTATTCTAATTCCTGTAACTCTGCATCCCCATTTCCCTGCTGTATCACCTTGGGCTAAGTACAATTTCAGATAATAGCTGTACAGATCCCTGTGAACTGCTGTGATTTTGTTGCCTTTATTCCCAGTCAGCAGAAAAGCAGCTGTGGCTGGAGCTCTTTACACTTGTGAAGTAGCAGGAAGAAAATGCATATTAAGTGCAGGGTTGAACCACGTAATGCTTCTACCAATTGGTGGCATGTCTATGGCAGGGGCGAATATGGTTCCTTTTCCCCAAAAGAGATGTTGCTTCTTCAGCATTGCATTGATACGAAATACATTGTGATCACAATCAAATCCTGAATACAATTGATCTACTTATCTATACTGTATCAGTCAGGAGTATCTAGGCAGCAGACTTGCTAAGGCTTAAGGCCATGTTAAGCAGCATTCTATTTCTGCAATTTTAAAATAATTTTTGATGTGAGACAGTCAGGACACTGCTTTTGTGAACCTGACATAGGGAAGATGTCAAAAAATGCTGCTATTTGCTCTCACATGAAATCCAAACCATATTTCAAACCTCAAAGTTCAAAGTATCAGTGAGCTGACACATTCTTGTTTCCAGTGTCTGTGGTTCTTTTGTTTGTTTTACAGGCAGCACGAGATGATAAAAGAAAAGGCATTTCTTTTGCCAGTGAACTTAAGAAATTAACCAAGTCAAGTAAACAGTATCGGGGCTTTGCATCATCACCTTTGCAGAGCTCACCGGACAATACTAAAGATGAAAAATCTGCAGGCAGTTTGACCTTTAGTGACAATATGGAATAACATCCGTAATTGCCAGCAGTATGTTCGCTGCAGGTATGACGTGTGCTCCTTGTTTCTAAATCAGACGTGCTCTCTGTTGATTTTTCAAGGTACAATTTTTTCAAAAGGGTGCTTGGTAAACCATAGTGAAATACAATAAGCAGCCAGAAAACTCTCTATGCTTTTAGGTTATTACTCTGTACTGGCACAAACCTATACACATTACTATGCATTGGCAGTCCTGTCTAGTCCCCCTATGAAAGCCTAAAGATAAATGGCGTGAAAATTGCTAGGAACATAGGAGTCCTAGGGTCCATCAGGTAACCTGACAAGGGCCAGTCCTTTTAAAAGACTCTTAGAATGCAACCTGGTTTCATCATACACTGTGACAGTGAGTTCCACAAGTAATGCAGTGTGCTAACCGCTACTTCCACACCCACTCTTAATTAAGAGGTGCCATCATTTCGTGTTATGGGACAGCTGAACTTTACTAAACATTAATTTATATGCATTTAATAATAATGGATCTGTGATCTCTTACTCCTCTCTCCATACGTAAACTGTTTGTGGCAGAGTTTCTAAGAATTTTATTGTCCTTTTCTGAATCTTTTATATTCCTTCTAGCTTGTTTGAGCTAAAGTGACAAAACCAAATACAGAATTCAAGGCAACAGTGTGCCATTTATGTATACGACAGAAAAAATCTTTTGGAGTTAGTAAGGTGTCTGGGCAAGATTTTCTTCTTAATTAGCTGTGACCTCTCAGTACCAAACAATTCTTAATAATCCCTTATCACATGGAGCAGTGATAAATTTCCCTATTTCCTTTCCACTCATTCTCAATTTATCAAGATACTATTTATATCTACAGTGTCACTTCATCAGAATTCAAGTAATAAGGCTGCCAATAATATTTTGTTTACAAAATTCCTTAAAAATGTATTTCATAGTATGCAGGCACCCATTTATACACTTGTATTTGAATTTAAATGCTATCATCATCTTCCCCTTTCCAGGTGATTTTAAAGGCCCTAAAATGGCGAAGGCAAAAAGCCAAGCTGAGGCTGTCAAAAACAGAGGGAGATTGTCATATTCCCTCTTTTTCCACATAGCCTTGCATTTACGTGATAACTGGAACCAACATCCGGATTCCTGATTTAAGAGAGCTTTCTGCATTCTCCATGAAGGATACTGCTGAGGCCTAAACTATTCAGCACTAGCTTGGCCTAATCCAGACTGTACTTCTTGGTGACAGATACAGATCTGGTAATGCTGAGTGGGATGTTACAGTTTCTAATGTTTGGAAAGACGCTTGCCAGCATTTGAAAGAGATTCCTCTCTTCCCAAATATCTTCACATCTGCAAAATCTGGAGAGGAAGATTAAGCAGACTTCTTAAATTGTACTTTGTAAACAAAAGATATTTTAATTAATTGCTTTAAGGGAAGAGAATTAGAACTAGAGTGTTCTGTGTATTGTATGAAAATAATGCACCTTTAATGGTTCCTGTTAAACACTGTTAGGTGATTGTAAAAAGATTTACATGGACTGTAACTTTCTTGGTATCACATATTTAATTTTGGTGATAAACCATAAATAACTATGGTAAGCATTTTGAGTATATCTATTTTCACAAAATAATCATGTACAAACAGCTAAACACACCTCCTTGATAGTGATATTTTGACAAGGAACAACATTTTCTTCATTCAAATTCTAGTTTTCCAGGCTTGTGTTTCAAGTAAGAATGATTATTTATTTTCACGTTCCAAGGTATGAGTCACTGTGTAATATATTTATCATACCTTTCTTTTTTGGTTTAGGGGAAAAATAATTTTCTGCTGAAAAGAAACATTCAGAAAAAAAAAACACTATTTGAAACATGCAATTGCTTAAAGTTTCAATTTTGAAATCATAGTAAAATAATCTCAACATTAGTGTTTGTTAGAGAATGGAAAATATTATAGTTGTGTAAATAACCCAGGCTACTCCATTTATTTTCCAATATAAACCTTGACTTTTTGTTTATGTAGAAGCACTGCTGTAAAGTTTTGTATATGTTTGAAATCATGATTTTTTTTTTAAAGAAGTTAGTTATAGCTGTATCATTTTCTTCAGTGTAAATCAAAAGCAGTTCATACTGACTTATACAAAGTAAGGGCACAACTGAAACTGCTGATGTCCATACATAAGAACCTTGTCTAGTAACTAAACTGTTCAGCATAAGCTTTGGCTATACTTCAGATCATATGTCTGATGCAGGGATTGCTGCAGATGAGTAAATCAATTAAACTAAATTTATAGGACAGTAAGAGAAGCAACTCTCCATTAAACAACCTGAAGTTGAATGAAATGCAGGGAGATGATTCAAGCAGTCTGCTCAGCACAGAGAATGAATACCCTGTATATTAGCTAGAGGGTCTACATCCCCAGAAATGTCCTCTAGCACAAAAAGATGCTATTTCTAAGGTTGTAATTTTGTGAAAATCTATATCTCTGTACTCAATCTAGACAAGGCACTATAGTTGCTGACTCCAAGAAATAAATTTAAAACTAAAAAGTCATAAGTTGATTTCTAAATGTGCAGAAACTATGCTGCGTTCAAATAAAAGCAGGAGAAAGTTAGAAAGCAACTCTCACCTTTTTCTGTGCAGGAAGTGCCCTCTTCAGGCTGATTCCAACATTAGGAAAAAAAAATGTAACTACACATTCAAAACTCCTTTACTGAGGCATCCCCAGGAGCTTACACACTTATTTTGAAATTCACCTGTCTTTATCCCATTTTAAAAATAGCAACTAAGCCTGTTCTGAATTCTGGGAAATTCGCAATATTTTCAAGCAGTGCTATGTCATTTGTCTAAACATGGTTTTCAGAGTTACATGGGAGAAGATTACACATAATATTTTGAAAAGTGAGTAGCCATGTAGCAGCCACTGACTTTAAGCTTCTTAGGCACTTATGAAAATCCCACTAGTCACCTATCTGCATCTTTTTTGAAAATGGACCTTAGGCCTCTCAATTACTTCAGGGTAAAATTTTCAGGACTGTTTATGGTGAACAAAAATAGCTGCTCTTCTATCTAGTCCTTCCATGTCTAAAGTAACCAGTCCCACTGAGAGAGATACAGGAAATTCAGCTTCCAAGGCACATTATTAAGTGAAATTACATGGTGTTTTATATGCACATTACCCCTTCAAGCAATATTTGCATTGATAGTGTATATCTTTCATTGTCCTTTGAATAGAGCTTAGATAAAGGTCTGATCCCTTTTTCATTTATATATATCCATCACCTGCATTGGTTGTTAAATCCATTTAGACACATGAAAATATTTTTTTAATAAAAAATTTACCCTTCATTTGATAAATGGATTCCCCTTATTTCTAGTAGCACTGAAAGTAAGAAGGTTGGGTCCAGAGAGATTTGGGAGAAGCTTTTGTAAATCTACTACAGATCCAGCAGAGAGAGAACTCTTGTGTAGGAATGCCACAAATATTAATGTCTCATTGCTACTAGACTTGAAAGAAAATTTAGATAAGGGCATCCTCAGCATCCTAGATTATAGCAGGCAAAGTCTGGTAGCCCTTTAAAAAGCAACAGATTCGCACTATTTGTGACTAGCATACACTCACTGTGTAAAGTGCATGATGTGGTTTATCCATAAGGACATTTTCTCTTTGCTAGTTATTTTAGCCTTGCCCAACTGTCATGAATACTTACCAGCCACAGGACAAAATCTACTTAAAAGCATAGCGGTAATGAGAAAACCAAGCATTTTGCTTGTTCAGTTTAAAAAAAATCATTTTATGGAGGTGGGCATGGTAGAATTTTCCAAAACTGATTATATTGAATTGGGGGAGGAGGGGTTCATTAAAGTACCTCAATTTATTTAAGTTTTAAAAAATAGGGATCTTGATGATTAATCAGCACCGCATTAGTTAATTGCATTCATGTCGTTTTGGTCATAGACGAAAGTAGGGGAAGCACATAAGCTTTCCATTTTCGTTAGCCTAAAAATCCCCCCAAATGAAATAGAGAGCTATTACTCTTGTGTTAAACAGCTTTAACTTATTTAAAATACCATAAACAGATTTAACATCAAGCTGTTTGGTTAATAGGAAAATTTGTCCCGCTTACCCATAAGTTTCCTTTCTTCAGAAATACAAGTCCACAGATACATATTAATGGGTCTGATAGATGGACAGCAGTGGTTCTGCCTCCCTGGCAGTTCAGGCTAAATGCCATCATATGGATCTGTGGACCTGGGTTTGATAAAGAAACATTTTTATTACAAACTATTCATAGGAAATAATTTACCACAGTATATAATATAAACCTTCCAGACCCCTACAAATGATAGCAGGACTCACCATGGGCAGTCAACTTCCTGTTACCTCTTTTGTAAAGAAAACACTTTATTCTACACTAAAATGTTTTTTTTAACCCTTCCTACCTATGTCTGTCTGTATTTGTTTCAGTGTATAATGAATGCTGGTATTGGTGCTTGTATGGGATTGACGTTGGAAGCCATAGGTCTTGGCTGTGTTACAACACTACACAGTTTTCAGGAACTGGATTGTTGTATTGGCTGGTGTTCAAGTTTCAAGACGACTTTAAAAAAAAACCCCTTAAGATATAAAAGTACTATGTCACATTTTAAAAACATACATCACATTTGTTTTTAGTTTTATTATTATTACTAATATTAGTTGGTGGAATGTCTCAATAACCATCTCCTGAAAATAACGATTAGCCTCTAGAGACCGCTATCAAGAATAAGAGTTTAACAGAGAAGTATCTCAACATTAAGATCAAATTCTCTTTAAACTCGGCTTTATAAAAGAGAACTTGTCAGTGGCTTTTTACTTCAAAACTGAGTCTTCAGCTTCTGAATGTTAGTGATTTTGCTCTAGCTCTCAGAATGCAATTTAGCTTCAGCAGATGATTATTAATCACTTTGTTGTTGCTAGCCCATTAGATGTAATGATGGTGGAGTGTTTTCTATTTGTGATAAACATTTCATAATTGCTGCAGTGCTACACAGTTGACAGAAGTAACAAACACAAACAAAAAATACAATAACAGTAAATATTTCTCTCACACATATATAGGCTATTAAACTGAATTTGTTAGTTGTGCAATCGTCTTCATTCTGCTGCTTTAAAGTGTGTCAAAATGTTTTGTCAATGTTCTATCAGTATGTGCCAGTTTTTATAAATTTTACATAATTTAAAAACTATGTATTTTAAAACTGACTTTCCACCTGGACTACTTTTTCTCTGACTTGAAAAGTAAACTTATATTTGTATATGTTGGAAAAATAAATGGTTTAAGAAGTGGACCTTTAGTAGTTCTTTCCTGAACTGCCAAAACTGTTGGCAATGGGGACACTTTCTAAAGTTTTCAAACCTTAAATCACATCACCTTCCCAAACCCCCTCACAGAGTTATTTAAGAACAGAAGTATTCAAATGCTATGGAGATGGGGGATCATATAAATTACTAAGAGACACAGAAGACTATGTGGGATACTATTTGTACAAAGCCACAAGCATTCTATAGGTCCTTTTTACAGTTCAGGTAGTGAAAACATAGGTTTTTAAATATACTAATTTATAGGGACTCACTAGTACCTACTTCAAAAGTGAGATATTTTTCATTTACGTCTTACTTCTTAGGACTATTTAACCTATTTTGATTGAAAATTGATAGCATGGTGGTATTAAATTAGATATTTAATATAGATTTCACAGTAATTATGGTAGCACCTAAAGGTCTGACCCGTTCTACAATAAAGGAAACATTTTCTAAGTGTTGCAGGTTACCAGCCACATGAGAAAAGCCCCTGAGGGCAGGGACCATCTTTTTGTTCCGAGATTGTGCAGTGCCTAGCACAATGGGGTCCTGGTCCATTCCTAGGACTCCCGGGTGCTACGATAATACAAACCACCACCACCTTGCATAACTGAAGCCTCTGTTGCATAGCATACCACACGCTAAATCAATTCTACACAAAGTCATATGTAAAGTGAGTGTTAGAACTCTCACTTTTAAATTATTTCATGCAATTTATCTGCAAAGCCAACATGAAAATGGCATTAAAAACACAATTTATGCTAAGCTAACCAAAGGGCGGGGATGTACTCATAAGACAAAAAAAAAAAGTTTAAATCTTTACCCTGAATCTCTTTAACAGTGCCGGTTCACTGAAGATATTGCAGAATGTCTCATTCAGTGACATCCAAAATACCATGAGTAGCACTGGAATTTAGCATATCATGATGCCCAATTCTGAAATACCTTCAATGGACCAGTAAGTACCAAGAGGATTTCACTGAAAGAAAGTCATTTAAAAGAGAGAGATTAATGGATAGGGCAAGTTAGACAAGAGAAATAGTTCAAGTTATTGCTCTTGGGATGCAGAGTCCCCAGATGTCTTAAAATAAGCATCAGAGAACACAATCCTGTGTGAATACTTCCTAAAATATACATTCAGTTAGTTGTAAAACATAAACCCAATGAATCTCTTGCAAAATATATATTTATGTAAACAAAAAATATTGCAATAATATACATCTCAAGCAATATTAAAGTTACCTGCCTCCAGACTTTTATATTTCCAGAAGTTACTTTTGTTACAGCTCAGTATGGTTCCTGTGAGGATGCAACCTTCTCAGTTAACCAACAGGTAACTGCAAAACACTGCTATTACTTTGTGTGCATCAGCAATGCATCATATATTTTTATCTTTCCACAGCAGGACTTCATCTGAATTCCTGTAAAGATGATGGGCAACAATTTCTTTCTGCTATTCCCAGACCCCAATTAAGAAGTCAATTATACTGGGTTGTAATACTTATGATAGGGATGATTCCTTTAAGTGTTTAGCAAAATCCACGGGTCTGTGAACAGCAGCCTCATTGAGATGTGTCTGAATCAATTCCTTTAAATCTTCATTTAGAAATGAATCCCCTTGAAGAAATTTATCCTGGAAAAAATCAAAATGTTAGTTGTATAAATGATGTAAAATACCTATCTAAATAAGGTCAACATAGGGGTTTCTCAAAGTGATATTTTACTACTTTATTTTTCCTTCCCTAGACCACCTTCTGAAGGCGAGGACACCAAATGTTCACTGATCCCTATTCATGTAGCAGGGAGAGCCTGTCAGTCTGAGCAGGGGAGGTCAGAGAAAGGACTTGCTTTCTAGACATGCAAGTTTTTCCTTTCTTCTTTGTAACTAAGCTAAGGGGAGCTTGCCACATCAGCCTTTGGCTAACATCATACAAACTTTTTTGATTTCCTCTCCATTTTTAATAACTCTTACTTTTAAGAATACTACAGTTTGAAACACCCACACACTGACTACCTCTCAAAAATCTGTCCTCTAGCCTCTAAGGAGAGGCACAGAAGGCAAAAGAAGCCTGAATCTCCACTCATGGTTTCTGTCAAAGAGCCTGGACAGAAGTGCTCTGTCCCACTGAGATATGTTGCAAAGGCCTATGGCGGACAGACTCCAGAGGAGAAGCAAGTGGGCCATGCATGGTATGGCAAAACTGAGATATGGTCAGAGTTTGTTAGAGAAGCAATAAGTTTCTTAAGCAATAAACAAGACCCCAAATTAAATTTAAGACACCTAAGTCACTTTAACGTAAAACAATGTAGAGTTACTGATTTTTTTTGTTAACTATTTTCAGAGGTATTACATGCTACATATTCTCACTCAAGTACTAGACAGTTCTACTTCCATCTGCCAATCCCAGTGCCTCTCTGCCAGACATGCAACTGATGTGATAATCCAGGGGAACAGGCAAGTTTACAAGTCATTTTCAGAGGACTCAGTTACTTATTTAATAAGGAAATTCTGTGGTGTCAGAGGACTTTGCTGATATTAGTAGATTATCAGCAGGAGACTCCATTGCAATTCATAGGTTACCACACTTTCAAAAGAGAAAGTGGGGATAAAGTCTCACGTTGTAAAAGGGAGAGCACTTGTGTAACATGTAGTAGGAGCTGTCAGTGGAGAATGTTTCATAGTGAAGCTCTGAGACATGTTAACTTTTTTCTTTCTCCCATAAAAGCTCTATGTTCCCCTCTTATATTTACACTTTTCAGTTACACACTGGCACTGATGGTGGCCACTTCCCACTCTGTATGCTGAATCAGGGCTCTGGGAACTTGGCCATCCTGCTGATTTCAGACTCTGAGACAAGAAAGGGCTTTGACACAAAGGCAACAGAAGCAAACTTGCACTCAGCCACAAGACAGCATTACAGATCTGAAAAGTAACAGACACTACATTTGTGTTACTACACATGCTCGTCCTATGGGAGATGGAACTATTCATACCATTTCTCTTCTTTCACAGTCAGCAGTCAACAATATTCACACCAGTAAAGAGAACTTAGCTGGGAAATCTGGCCATACAGTCAAAACCCCTTGGTGCTGAGCAGTGAGTCAGGAGTTCTAGTATCTATTTGTGAACACGTGTGTTTAAGAAAGGATGTTGAAAGAGACAGTACCTTTTTTCTAGGTGTAACTGATGCTACAGGAGGATTAAAAGTCATTCCTTTCATATTATATGTCTCAAAAAGTTCTGTGCCAGACCTGTAACACAAGATCAGTTTTACACAATTAAAAGAAACCGTACAAAGTATATGTCCATAAAACAAGTCTCACTTCAGTACTCTATGAACTCAAAGTAACCTGCTCCTCAATCACTACTTCAGACCTGCAAGGGAAGAATACCTGGTAATACAGAATATCAATTGGAAAAGTTATATGAATCAGAAATGTAGAGATAGGACAAATAGACAAATTAAAAGCATGTAAAGTGGCTGTAAATTATTATACTGAGATTAACTACATAGCTGAGGTATGAACGAAGATGGAAATGAGGGAGATTAGGAGTCCAGCTCACAGAGACTATTGCTATGCATGCCTGACAAAGTTCCACAGTCATCTATCCTCACACTAATTTCCATCAGTACATACTCCAGAACCCGGCACCACAATTGTTTTTCATTGGACTGTCGCAGCCCAGCAACACTGCTCCTTATTAAGATCCCTGGGCTGCTACTATGCAACACCAAGTGCTTTTGCTCCTATGAGGGCAGAGTATGCTGCATTTTCAGGACTTTTATCCTCTGCATGGCCAGGAAACAAGCCCTTAGAGAAAGCAGCCAGCTTTTGGTACTTATAAAAGAACCATCATACTTTTGTTCTTCAAAAATAATTTTCTTGAAGCATATGGAAAATTACTTACTGGGGAATCTTATAACACAAAACAAACAGCTTCTACTTTGCCAGTGAACTATTTTTCAAAACATATCCACCGTATATCCCACCTTCGGCTCAGATCTGGTCTGAGAGCTTCTGAACCTTCAGCTGGAGCTCCAGCAATAAGGTGATCTGCAAATTTCTGCACTGTCGGATGATAGTGTCTCTGAAAGGAAGAAGGGGATTGGTGAGGGATAGAATAGTAGGTACTTATGTATGTACTTCGCCAATAATAATAATACTGTATTTATACACTGCATAGAATACTTTCAGCAAACTTCTTTTCTGTTTCAGGATGAGACTAAGGATTAGCCAGTGTTCTAAGGGTTACACATGCTATGTTACCAACCCATAAAACCACACAAATAGTTTGGATGCAATGTCCATGACAGTTTCACTATAGTTAATCTTAACTCTTTTTCTTCCAGTAGATAGTTCTAGCCAGGATTATAGACAAACATTTTCCATTACATATTTGCAGAGATAGGCGTTAAATATAATTTCTGGAATGAGTAGGCTATATTAAAAGCATACTGATAAAACATAAGGGCCATAAAGGTTTCCATTAGGCTACCAGCTCCACTGAAACAATTTATCACACAAACAGGTTAATGGTAAGATTTCCCTTACTGCCATCTTTGTCCCTGCCTCAGATGGGTAATTAATCTCAGTATAATAATTTAAAGCCAGTTCACTTGTTTTTAATTTGTCTAGTTGGTGGAGCAAAGCAAGATCTAACACTCAACTCCGTATCATTTCTCTGTTTATCTGCAACACAATAACTTTGCAATGCCACATCCCAATCAACTTCAAAATTAACAGAAATGTTCTAGGTACTGGTGGGCACAAACCTATTGATTCTGGTGCAGATTAGAAGACCGGAAAAGACTGAATCACAGGAAAAATCAATACCACCAGACTGAGGCAGAGGAATCTCTCTGCCGCGCCCCCTGCTGCTGCCTATACATATCAAAGGCAGCACATTAACCTGCTATGCCGGAAGTTTGGATTCTACCATAAAGAAGGTTTCAGAGTAACAGCCGTGTTAGTCTGTATTTGCAAAAAGAAAAGGAGTACTTGTGGCACCTTAGAGACTAACCAAATAAATTGAAGAAAAGAAAAAAAAGAAGAAAGCCTTTCAGGGAGGATTTTGAGAGGGGTGGGGTGGAGAGAATCTAGGACTGCAGGGTTTAGGTAGCAGGGGATGTAGAGATCCAGAGAGAACTGAGGGGTGTGGGTGAAAAGTGGTGGTAATGAGGGAAGCAGGGGGAAGGGAAGATACTGGGTGGATTGGCAGGGAAGCAGGGATCCACAGCACGGGAAGCATAGGAGACAGGGAAGGGAAAGTGGCACTGGAGGAAGGGGGAGAGGCAGGGACCTGGAATGGGGAGGAATAAAGGGACCATGTCATGGTCAATAAGTGGGGAATGAGGGTGCGCACAGAGCCCCTGCCATGGTACATGGAGAGGGGGACATGGAACACACACAGAACCCATGGCCTATGGCAGAGGAGTGGATGGGGGCACACAGAGTGCCTGTGATGAAGGAGGAGTTGGGGGGAGTTGCAGGGAGGCCCTGAAACAGGGTGCCACACAGGGAGATTGTAGGGAAGAATGGAGGGATGCAAGTAGACCTGGGGTGTGCAACACGTTTGACCTACACTAGCCACAGAACATGAGACCTCCTAGCATAAATACACAGAAAGGATACACAGAACACAAGATTTCATCAGCCACCATCCCAACAACCTATCTGGAAATACTGTTGTAACAAACAGAGTATTGTGTTAGCAGAAGTTAGACAAGGGTATGTCATTCATCTAGAGTACACAGCCTAGAGATTACAGCATTGATCTGAGCTCTGTATTTAGTTAAGTATATAAACATTTAGCCAGCTCCCCAGAATTACCCAAATAGTAACTCACCCGGAGTGCATGTAATTCCCACAGGGCTGTGTTCTGAGCATTGCAACACTCTGGCTCATCCAGTTCGGGGAGATACAGTCCACTGCCTTGAGCCTCATTATCTAGCAGGAGGTCTGTTTTTGGGAACGTCTATCACACCATCACACAGAAAAATTGATTATCTCACAGAAGTTTAATGCATATAACATGGTAATGCAAGTTCAAGAGTGTAACCAAACATTCAGCTCTATTCAGACTCAGCAGTACTTAAGGAAATCCTATTTTCATGTTTAAAATGTCAAAATATTCTGTAGTAAAAAAAAAAAAAAAATTGTAATATTACATAACAATTCATGGACTAGCAAATTCTGCAGCCCAGTGTCTCCCACAATTCTGGAGGAGACACTGCTAGCAGAAAGGAAATAATCAAATAAGAAATTTTCCATTCCAGCAAGTGACTAAGAACTTACTTGCATCAATATTCTGTTGGTTGCCAAGATCCCAACACTGGAATTTGGAAGGACATGGAGAGCAAGTGTGGAAAGTCGCTTTATGAAAGCAAGGGCTCGTTGCTGGGAAACCTGTTTCCTACGTTTGGTAAGCATTACATCCAGGCACTGAAGCACTATCACCATGTCATCATTCGTAGCACCTCAAAAAACAGAATATGCAAAAACCCATTTAAAGGCAACAAGAGACCTTCCACATGAGAAAGAAAATATTCTATGAAGGATGTTGTTTAGAAATTAGAGCCCTAGAATATTGTACTAAAGCATAAATAATAGTTCAACAAACAGTGGTTATTAACATGATAGACAAAAACACACATCTACTTTTAAAAAACTATTCCTGCTTTGAGCAGACTCAGTATATCTGTGCTTCTTTTAACAATGCACTTATTCAAACAAGGATGCTTAAATTCACAAAGATTCTTTTGGTCCTAATTACACTGATCATTCTATCAATTATTTATAATTATAAAAAAGTGTACTCATCCAGTGTTTTGGATGCATATACAATAAAAACAATGTACAACATATAGTTAATTCATGAGCTCCTCCTATACAAATTAATGAAACCCATTTTAACTAAATTAATCCTTACTTTAATAGGCATCTTTTCATAAAGTGTTAAAGCACATATTAAAAGCAATTAATGTTGAAAATATAAAACTTTCAAAAGATCAACAGAGATTTCAATTGCCTTTGCAAAGAATCAAGTAATATGGAGTCAAAAGACAGATTTCTATGAAGAGAGGTTAGATCAGGGATGGGCCACCAGCAGCATCCGGTCCGCCAGATCATTTTATTTGGTCCACCACAGCCCAGCTCAGGGCAAGCAACCCAGCAATGCCAAGGGCAGGAAAAGGTGGGAGGGCCCCGCCTGCATACATACACATCATATGATGCTGTAGCAAGAGCCAGTGGACCGGAGCAGAAAGTCAGGCCCAGCCCAAGCTCCACAGGACAGTAGCTGTTGCCGCAGGATGCGTGTGAGGCAGATATGCTCTCCAACCCCTCTCCTAGGCGGCAGGACATGACATTCCCCCGGTCACACCCATCAGCCCACCAGAGGGTTTTAGTGGATTTTGTGGCCCTGTGCTACCTTAAAGTTACCCATGCCTGGGTTAGACGCTGATCCAAAGTCACTCACTAGCCACTAATGAAATCTGACGCTATTTGAAATTGGTACTAAGTAATGCCATAATATATATACTAACTTGAGAGAAGAACTAAGAAGTTAAAACAAATTTGTTATCTGTTTCTGTAAAAGGATGGCAAAGGCATCTTAAAATTAGCATTTTTAAGAGTATCATACAAATAAAATAAACAGTCTATGTGTTCAGATGTTAAAATAAGACGCTGAACTTACCCGCATGTAGCCTAAATAGTGTCCTGTAAAGGTGACTGTAGAACTTTGAAGGGTCAATGTTAAGAACATCACCTATTTAAAAAATAATCCCAAATAAGTAGGTTTACTTCACTAACCTATCATCTAAAATCAAATTATAAAGTTTATATTTTAGAGAACTTACCTTGTCCAGACAGAATATGAAAAGCAGTGAGAACGCAATGAAGGCTCTCCCGATAGCTTAGATCCTGGGAATACAAAAGAATAGCTGATGCACAGTAGATAAAGCTTCATTTTTAAAAAAATGTCTCAAGAAATTACCTCATTAGGAAAAAGCTCAACTTACCCCAGATGCAATGAGAGAATGTAGAACAACCAACAGGTCATCAAAAAATTCTACATTTATGAGATGGGCAAACCTAGAATCAGGGAGATTTTTATTTTTCTGTAATTATAGACAATTTTCTCTGCAAGCTCATTCAAAGCATTCTGTGACCCACCAAAGACTACATCTTCATCCTCTACTTTCATCAAATGCCCTCTTAAATCTACTCTATATTCGCACAGCTTGGTAATGCAATGCCTAGAGGCATATCTTAACTTTTCATTAACGCTACTGCACAGAGCAAAGAACGACTATCAATTTCTTTATTAACAAACCAGAATAAATAATGCAAATCACCTCATGATTTGAAGGATTTTTGTCATGTAAGGCCCATACTGACAATTAGATACTAGAATGAAAGACGTTAGAAATGCTCAAATATACAAACTGATGAATTTTGGTGTGCTTTATTCATATATCCTACATGCAGTTGAATTGCTCATAAAAAAGATTCTTAAAATGTCTTTTTACTGACTCATTTTTTCTAAAATATATAGAAAAAAAAATATTGACTCATAGCTCTTACTTTGCAAGACCTTCCAGTACCGTAGGCAAAAGAAGGGATTTCTGTACTTTCTTCAGTATTCGGAAGTAAGTTAAAAATACAATATTCAGAGTCTCTGTGTGCTGTGGGAAAAAGTACATAAAATCATATCAGTATGCACAGAAAACAGGTATTGCTGATTCATTTAAACTAAACTCAAAACTTTCCTTTTCCTCTTACTTTTTTGAATTTTGAACTCACCAGCCCCCCAAATCCTAATAATTACAAATATAGCGGTCCAAAAATTCCTATCACAAAGGATACAGTCACATGTTATTGAGTCAGCAGGTGGATTTTAGATTCTGTAGTAAACTAAAATTAATGGCAATATTTTTAAATTTGACCAACATAAATCATGCTTTTAAATTCCACTTTGATACAACATCTCATTCAAACAAAGAATTGAGAAGACCTACTTAAATATAAATAAAAGGAAATAAATGCCAACAAACTGATACTGAACAGCTGTACATATTTAAAGGGACGCTGTTCTAAATAGGCAGTGTCAGGCTGTCAGTGTGCCTGTCACCCTGGGGTAAGGACTACACAACTGAAACTGAAAACTGACATCATAATAAACATTGCTACTAGCAGCAGAATTTTTCTGACACACACAAAGGAACCCTATTACAGATTCAAGTAATTCCACCTTACTGGAGCCCTCTGCTGTAAACTGTAACCTAGTCAGTGAGTTACAAATTAGAGGCATCATTTTCCTTTCTTTGTGCTCCACCTGTGTTTTTATAATTTCAGTCTCCTCAACACAGCTAGGTCTGTTAGTTGCAAAAAATGAACCCTCCCCAGATCCTATCTCATGACATACAATACCCTTTCTGCCTGAGAAGAGGTCTTCCATACCCCGTATCACTTACCTACTGAGCTAATGTGACAAAGAAAAGACAACAAATTGGACCACAAAATAGACTTCAGACAACTAGTTTTAATTGCTTGCAAGAATACATGCAAAAGCAGAAAAAAAATTTCTCCAATTCCCTACCAGTTTCAGTTTTTTTTCTTTACTCTCAGAGGCTTCTGCTTCCAGGAGTTCTCGTTCCAGCTTCTCTTCTGCTTTCTTCCACTGAAAATATATTCATTTTAAAGGTTTCAGATTAACAGGGAGAACTGGAGGTCCTGGTGATGTCAAAGAACTATGACGTGATCGGAATAACAGAGACTTGGTGGGATAACTCACATGACTGGAGTACTGTCATGGATGGTTATAAACTGTTCAGGAAGGACAGGCAGGGCAGAAAAGGTGGGGGAGTAGCACTGTATGTAAGGGAGCAGTATGACTGCTCAGAGCTCCGGTACGAAACTGCAGAAAAACCTGAGTGTCTCTGGATTAAGTTTAGAAGTGTGTGCAACAAGAGTGATGTAGTGGTGGGAGTCTGCTATAGACCACCGGACCAGGGGGATGAGGTAGATGAGGCTTTCTTCCGGCAGCTCACGGAAGCTACTGGATCGCATGCCCTGATTCTCATGGGTGACTTTAATTTTCCTGATATCTGCTGGGAGAGCAATACAGCGGTGCATAGACAATCCAGGAAGTTTTTGGAAAGCGTAGGGGACAATTTCCTGGCGCAAGTGCTAGAGGAGCCAACTAGGGGGGGGCGCTTTTCTTGACCTGCTGCTCACAAACCGGGTAGAATTAGTGGGGGAAGCAAAAGTGGATGGGAATCTGGGAGGCAGTGACCATGAGTTGGTTGAGTTCAGGATCCTGACACAGGGAAGAAAGGTAAGCAGCACAATACGGACCCTGGACTTCAGGAAAGCAGACTTCGACTCCCTCAGGGAACGTATGGCCAGGATCCCCTGGGGGACTAACTTGAAGGGGAAAGGAGTCCAGGAGAGCTGGCTGTATTTCAAGGAATCCCTGTTGAGGTTACAGGGACAAACCATCCCAATGAGTCGAAAGAATAGTAAATATGGCAGGTGACCAGCTTGGCTTAATGGTGAAATCTTAGCGGATCTTAAACATAAAAAAGAAGCTTACAAGAAGTGGAAGGTTGGACATATGACCAGGGAAGAGTATAAAAATATTGCTCGGGCATGTAGGAATGTTATCAGGAGGGCCAAATTGCACCTGGAGCTGCAGCTAGCCAGAGATGTCAAGAGTAACAAGAAGGGTTTCTTCAGGTATGTTGGCAACAAGAAGAAAGCCAAGGAATGTGTGGGCCCCTTACTGAATGAGGGAGGCAAACTAGTGACAGAGGATGTGGAAAAAGCTAATGTACTCAATGCTTTTTTTGCCTCTGTTTTCACTAACAAGGTCAGCTCCCAGACTGCTACGCTGGGCATCACAAAATGGGGAAGAGATGGACAGCCCTCTGTGGAGATAGAGGTGGTTAGGGACTATTTAGAAAAGCTGGACGTGCACAAGTCCATGGGGCCGGACGAGTTGCATCCGAGAGTGCTGAAGGAACTGGCGGCTGTGATTGCAGAGCCATTGGCCATTATCTTTGAAAACTCGTGGCGAACCGGGGAAGTCCCGGATGACTGGAAAAAGGCTAATGTAGTGCCAATCTTTAAAAAAGGGAAGAAGGAGGATCCTGGGAACTACAGGCCAGTCAGCCTCACTTCAGTCCCTGGAAAAATCATGGAGCAGGTCCTCAAAGAATCAATCCTGAAGCACTTGCATGAGAGGAAAGTGATCAGGAACAGCCAGCATGGATTCACCAAGGGAAGGTCATGCCTGACTAATCTAATCGCCTTCTATGATGAGATTACTGGTTCTGTGGATGAAGGGAAAGCAGTGGATGTATTGTATCTTGACTTTAGCAAAGCTTTTGACACGGTCTCCCACAGTATTCTTGTCAGCAAGTTAAGGAAGTATGGGCTGGATGAATGCACTACAAGGTGGGTAGAAAGCTGGCTAGATTGTCGGGCTCAACGGGTAGTTATCAATGGCTCCATGTCTAGTTGGCAGCCGGTATCAAGTGGAGTGCCCCAAGGGTCGGTCCTGGGGCCGGTTTTGTTCAACAGGGTTTTTAGATGGGGTAAGATCCAAGTTACCCGGGAAAGAATTTTCTGTAGTATCTGGCTGATGAATCTTGCCCATATGCTCAGGGTTTAGCTGATCGCCATATTTGGGGTCGGGAAGGAATTTTCCTCCAGGGTAGATTGGAAGGCCCTGGAGGTTTTTCGCCTTCCTCTGTAGCATGGGGCACGGGTCACTTGCTGGAGGATTCTCTGCTCCTTGAGGTCTTCAAACTACAATTTGAGGACTTCAATAGCACAGATATAGGTGTGAGGTCTTTTTTAGGAGTGGTGGGTGAAATTCTGTGGCCTGCATTGTGCAGGAGGTCAGACTAGATGATCATAATGGTCCCTTCTGGCCTAAATATCTATGAATCTATGAATATCTTCATAAATGATCTGGAGGATGGTGTGGATTGCACTCTCAGCAAATTTGCGGATGATACTAAACTGGGAGGAGTGGTAGATACGCTGGAGGGGAGGGATAGGATACAGAAGGACCTAGACAAATTGGAGGATTGGGCCAAAAGAAATCTGATGAGGTTCAATAAGGATAAGTGCAGGGTCCTGCACTTAGGACGGAAGAACCCAATGCACAGCTACAGACTAGGGACCGAATGGCTAGGCAGCAGTTCTGCGGAAAAGGACCTAGGGGTGACAGTGGACGAGAAGCTGGATATGAGTCAGCAGTGTGCCCTTGTTGCCAAGAAGGCCAATGGCATTTTGGGATGTATAAGTAGGGGCATAGCGAGCAGATCGAGGGACGTGATCGTTCCCCTCTATTCAACATTGGTGAGGCCTCATCTGGAGTACTGTGTCCAGTTTTGGGCCCCACACTTCAAGAAGGATGTGGATAAATTGGAGAGAGTCCAGCGAAGGGCAACAAAAATGATTAGGGGTCTGGAACACATGACTTATGAGGAGAGGCTGAGGGAGCTGGGATTGTTCAGCCTGCAGAAGAGAAGAATGAGGGGGGATTTGATGAGCTGCTTTCAACTACCTGAAAGGGGGTTCCAAAGAGGATGGCTCTAGACTGTTCTCAATGGTATCAGATGACAGAACGAGGAGTAATGGTCTCAAGTTGCAGTGGGGGAGGTTTAGATTGGATATTAGGAAAAACTTTTTCACTAAGAGGGTGGTGAAACACTGGAATGCGTTACCTAGGGAGGTGGTAGAATCTCCTTCCTTAGAGGTTTTTAAGGTCAGGCTTGACAAAGCCCTGGCTGGGATGATTTAACTGGGAATTGGTCCTGCTTCGAGCAGGGGGTTGGACAAGATGACCTTCTGGGGTCCCTTCCAACCCTTATATTCTATGATTCTATAACAGCCGTGTTAGTCTGTATTCGCAAAAAGAAAAGGAGTACTTGTGGCACCTTAGAGACTAACCAATTTATTTGAGCATGAGCTTTCGTGAGCTACAGCTCACTTCATCGGATGCATACTGTGGAAACTGCAGAAGACATTATATACACAGAGACCATGAAACAATACCTCCTCCCACCCCACTCTCCTGCTGGTAATAGCTTATCTAAAGTGATCACTCTCCTTACAATGTGTATGATAATCAAGTTGGGCCATTTCCAGCACAGGAGAGTGAGTTTGTGGGGGGGAGGGGGGGGGGAGGGTGAGAAAACCTGGATTTGTGCTGGAAATGGCCCAGCTTGATTATCATACACATTGTAAGGAGAGTGATCACTTTAGATAAGCTATTACCAGCAGGAGAGTGGGGTGGGAGGAGGTATTGTTTCATGGTCTCTGTGTATATAATGTCTTCTGCAGTTTCCACAGTATGCATCCGATGAAGTGAGCTGTAGCTCACGAAAGCTTATGCTCAAATAAATTGGTTATTCATTTTAAAGACATTAAATATTCTGGCAAATTAAAAAATTCCACTTCTCACTAAATTTGGAGGCCCAGGGTCCACAGGTGTCTGGAATAACCGTGTTCAGTGCTCTGCTGATCCTTTGCGAGTTCCATGGTGGAATGAAGTTGTCTTAATGATGGCAGAAGGGTAACTGGAGGGTAGCTCGTTTTCTGAACATCCCCTTCCCACCAACTAATAAACAGAACTGAGTCACTATCAGAAGTTTTGCTAATTATTATAATAAATATAGGGAAAAGGACAGAATTAGGAAGATTAAAAATTCCTTGATGTGCCCCAAAATGCTCTATACACAGTGATAATGCAACGCATTTACCAGCGCCAAAGGATAACAAAGGTAACAGGAATCCGTTTCTATTATACCTTTCTTTGCATCCTTGAAAGATTTTTCCTTTTCTCCTTACAGGACATGAACTTTTTCTTTGCAGTAATGTCTTCTGTGTCTTTTTTTACTTCTACTTCTTTAATTCTTAGATGAAGGAATATTTTTAGCACCTAAAATTGACAAAGAAACCAGAAAATATTTAGTGCCTGAAGTTTAACAAAGTCACGTGCAGCAAATTTACAACAGCAGATTATCCACATCAGGAACTTCAAGAATGGGTGTGTCTGACTGAGCTTTTGTCCTGTAATACTGGAGAATCTTCATACAATTTTATATAGTTAATTAGAAAACATACACAATGCGTTTTCATAAAATATTAATTAACAGCAGTCTTCCTTATAGTCACGGTCACTTAAAACTCTGGCTCCTGCAACATATTTGGTCACCTTAACCTATTTTCTTGGCTTAAATCCAGTGACTAGAACCCATAACTTGAGCATGCCTTAATTTATTTGTCAAACAGACTACACCCCTTGTAGGCGCAACTGCAAACTATCCCGATGCAAAGGAAAGATAGGACAACTAGTAAGAGTCCAATATGGCTTCATCAGAAGCTATTTAATTATCTGAAAATAAAAAATGAAGTTTACAAAAAGAGGAAACATGAATAACCAAGGAGTACAAAAGAGCAGCACAAGCATGAAGGGACAAAATCAGAAAAGCTAAGGCACAAAATTAGTTATACCTAGCAAAAAGCAGTAAGAGGAGGTTCTTTAAATGCATCAGGTTTGTCAATCTAACAGACTACACCCCTTGTCTCCTTTTTAAGGGAAGTCAAGAAGCCCTAAACTTGTTCCATGCTCAGGAAAAGCGAAGAAATACTGGATAGCTTTCCTAAGTATAGACTTTTGCTATTTTTGCCATTGTCAAAAACAATTCTGAAGTACAACAGAAAGAAACTTACCTCAGGTCTAACATCATAATTTCTGCTTTTTACAAGGCCAGAAATCACCTTAACAACACCCAGAGAAACAGAGCCCAGTTTGTCTTGTTTAAAGAGCTTCTTTACAGCTTCACAACACATTTCAGAAATCTGTAAAGTGAATTGAAATGTTTATTCTCATAAAATTATATAAAAAAAAAAGAGACAAGTTCATCCCAATAGTTACTCAACTAAGTTTCTATGTCAAAATTTACAATGGTGTGAATATCCATTTTCAATAAAAAAGTCAAGTACAGAGAGAGAGAGAAAAAGTGTTGAAAAGAGAGGCATGCTACGGTTGCTTTGTAATTAACTTTCAAAAATCAAATATTTTTCATATAAGAGAATGCCTCTTAAAATCAAACAAATAATTAGAAAGATACCCACCAATTTTGATGCGTCATTCATGAGAGGTACAATCAGGACAATGATGTTATTGTGGAAATTGAAGTGAGGCAGCACCACAAGAAGCTCACACAGACACTTGACTGCAATCTCTGCCAGACCTTTATATGCTTTTAATGAGATCACGTTACTTTTCTTCAGCTTCCTCTGCTTCCAGTCTGAATAAAATATTATTTTTGTTATTATTATGCAAACCTTAGCTACTGCATTATTTTTGAGTATTTTTCTGGCGGCTTTCCTGATGTTTTAGTAAAATCAATCTTAAGTACAGCTTTCTATGAAATAACAATCAGAAAATGTTAGGTGCAGAAAGCAATATTCATTCCAAGGATAAACAGTTATTCTGCAAACACTTATATAGGCGAGTAACTTTGTGCGCACAACTAGGCCCTTTCAGTTCAACGGGATTATGCATATGTAATTGACGGCAGGATCAGGACCTTGTATCTAGGAATGTACTTAACTAAGAAATGAGGAAAATCCACACTATACCTTTAACTGTTTGTTCCAGATTTTCCAAGTAAAACTTGTACTGGCTCACAAGGCTTTCTTCAAACTCCCTTAGTTTCTGAGTTTCTTTTCTAACCTGTAAACATGATACAGGTGAATTATTTTTAAAGACCTAAGTATTTCAGTTAACTAATACTGCCAATATAAGGTTTGGTGTTTTGGGTTTTCTTCTTGTTTTTGGGATTGGTTTTATTTTTATTTTTTAATCCAATGAAGTTTAGTTTTTAACAGAGCTTTCCCAGGTATATATTAAAATTAACTTTTCTGTACAAGTTTTGGTGCTTGGAGATTTTTTCTGCCCACCAGATCTATTTCACTAGCAAGTATTTACGTGGGATTTGGGAATAGGACTGCCTTTATGAAAAACAAAGCCAGAATCCTGAGTTGTGCCACCTCAATTGGTAAACACCTTCTAAACCAACATTTTACAAAAAATCCAGGAGAATAAGATATTCTGCCTTTATTTAGCAGAGAATTAAATATACTTGTTGAAATCTGATCCAATATAAGGGCATCTACACGGGGGCATCCAGGAAAACTAATCTGAATTAACTAAAGTGTGAATTTGAAGTAGATTAGTAAAACTGCATTAAATCCCATGTGAACACTCTTATTCAGCATTAAAGTGGCCTTAATTTGGTATAGTTTAAACCACTTTCAAAAGGAGTTAAAATAAATTAAATTAAGGCCACTTTAATCCTAAATCAAAGCATCCACACAGGAATTTTAATGCAGTTTAACTAATTAACTTCAAATTCACACCTTTAGTTAATTCAGATTAATTTTCCTGGATGTCCCCATATATGCAAGCCCTAAAATACATGAATAATTGTACTCTTTCTGCTCCTTGCCCCAGCCCCACCCCCAGCTGCGGCTCCGCTCCCAGCCCCAGCCCAAGATCCACCCCCAGATGCAGCCCCACCCTCGGCCCCCTTACCCCTGTCTGCGACCCCCACCTCCCTCCCGAAGCCGGGGCCCTGCTCCCAGCCAGGGTGCACACAGGGTTAAGGGGGAGGCACAACCCTGAAAAGCTGAGCATCCACATTGTATTTTAACCCAATATTAAGACTCTTCTAACCCATAGTCAAACCTATGGCTCTGGAGTCCACACTGCAGTGTGCAGACCCAAGTCAAAGTAACCATATCTCAGAGTCCCTAGTGCTCTCCCCCCTACCCCCAAATATGGCTGCTCTAGCCTAGGACCTGGTGCACTGTGTGAAAACTTTACTGCCTGCCCTGCACATTACAGGAAGTTTGAAGCAACCTGCTTTGCAAAAGACTTGATCAGTTTGTTCTCCATTGCAAACCCAGGAGGTTCTTGGATAGTGTGATTGCAGCTTGGTGATCAGAAGAGAACAGGTTAATGATGACCTGAGTTGCTGCCATTCACAAAAGGGGGCTGGGCTTCCATTTTCAATAAAGTGGATTGCAGATTGTTGGGACAGAGAGGAATAAGGAAGTTATCCCACAATTCTATGGGACACTTCCAGCCGATTCCCGGGAGATGAGTCAAGTGGGGCTCCATCTACACTGTAAAGCAATAACACAAGCTCGGACCCTCCAGCCCTGCAGGGCCCTAGGACCCTGGGTCCAAGCCCTATGTTAGTGCAACTGAAGTATAGACACAAGGGGGTTAGGCTTGAGCTACGGCTCAAGCATGTGCTCATGCTGCAGTGTAAACATATCCCATAAATACTTCATGTTAAAATAGGATTTGTTAAATTTGTTCAAAAACTAGATTTCTGTTAAACATTTGTTTTAGATCAGGGACATTAAAAACAACAAACTATCCACCCTATTTTATAAAGAAACCTGGAGTTTCACCTTGGTATGTTTTTCTGCTTCAGTCAGAGGCCGAATTTTGTAAGAAGGAGTAATATCTTTGAATATTTCCATCAGAGAAACCATCACCAGCTTCCGAACAATCACAGCCACATTGGGGTCTTGTTCCATTAGCATGGCACGCAACTCTTTCAGCTTCTTTATCTGTTCAAGAAAACATATGGTGCAGAATAAATAAAGGTTATATACCAAAGAGAAACAAATTTACACTCTACTTTACGCAAAGGGTGGCAGTAGGAAAAACTCCCATATCTGGCAATAAAACTACTGTAATAAAGTGATATTACACAAACAAATTAGTACACACTATTAAACACCAGGGAAGGAGTCAGCAAACCCCAAAGAATCTAATGAAATTAATAGTTCAGGAATGTTGCAACTAGCAAGTAAATACAACTTTAAGCAGAATGATAGGAAAATATTAGTGCACGCTGGAACACTGAAAAGTCAGGGTCCAATCATGAGCCTGCAAGCAGAGCCCAAATAAAGCGTTATGCCCACAGGAACTATGGGCCTTGGTGGAATGGGAGCTGTATGGAATCCCCACTCCCAACCCATCAATAACACCAATGAATTCGTGGAGAGTCCAACTACTGGTGGGTATGGGTAATATCAAACACAGTCTTGCGGATTTACTTTGTCTGCAGAACAACTGCCAACAACCATGGCCCCCCCTTTGCTGTGCTCTCTCTGCTGATTTTGGCTTTTCCATGGGTGCATAACATGTTGCAGACTTTGCCATTCCTTGATTACTTCAGATTTTTGAAATTAATTGATTTACTGTACCACACACAAAAAAATTGAACACTACTCACGCTGTTTTCTGGGTCAGACAGAATGGCAGCTGCTAAGGCTGCAATGTGTATCTTCTTCTCTTGCAGCTTCCTCCTCCTTTGAATTACCAGTTCATCTGTAGTGAGCACAGGCTGGGGTTCTTCACTAGATGCTAACACAATGAAGTTTAATAGTTAACTTTTCCCCATTAGTTCCCACTCTTTAACTGTATGTTAGAAACCACTTAAGTATCATACTGTAAAATCCAATTCTATTAATTTTATTTCAAATTATTACTTAGCAGATACAATATCATAATGTTAAGTTCAGCAGTATAGCACTCAAAAGCAGCCCAAGAGGGTTTTCAGGGCCACGTGATGACTTGTAATTTGCATAAGACCCACTTCACCTCTTCTAACCCAAAATAAACAAACAAAGGAATAATGTCAAACTTGGTGGGTTAGGTCAGGGCTTGAGATACAATTTTTCTGTTAAATTTCAAGTGAATTGGACAAGGGCATTTTGAATTGCAGTACCCTAAGAAATGGAAGTGTTCACAAGATTAAATAAATAAAAAAAGGACACTGATAAAGCATAGCTGTACAGACTCATCAACCTGAGCTCTCATGCACTGAACCAAAGATTAATTAATTAAATCAATTTTAAAAGTTAAAGATTTTCATTAACTACAACCAAATGGCTTGGTGGCGCCAATGAACTTAAAAAGGATGACAACAACTGGAGATCTGAACTGTCATTTAATTTTTTTTTTAAATTACCTCGAAGTGTAAACCCATCACTATGGTGGCTTCTCAATAGAAAAAGGAAACAGTTTCCAACAAAACTGAAGACAGGTTGTTTTTAAATTAAAGTTTTTAATAACAAAAAAGGTGTTCTCAACAGTAAGAAACTTCTAACGCTTTTTTTTGGGCAGAGTTTTGTATCCTGAAAATCGAGAGTAGGAGACATTAAAAATTAAGATTATTCAACTAAGCTATTTTAACAGGTGCAAAAGGAGTGGTGCCTCCCTGCTCCCTCTCACCATAGTCCCACAAGCACACACCAGTGGACCTTTTAAGGTGCTCACTTCCAATGGATTCAAGGGCTTGCAAGGTGCGTGTGTATGTGGAGGGGAAATACGTATGCCGAGGAGAGTACAGAGCTTGTGGACTGAGAGAAGGGGTCATGAAGAGTATCAGCAAAGCAAGCAGGGTGATCTGATGGGAGAGAAGAAAGGAACAGAAGAGTGAAGGAAAATGGATAAGGGGAACAGCAGGACAGGGTACATGCCACACATACTTGTAAACATTAAGAGTCTCAGCATTACCCCTTCTCCCGATCAGCTCTGGAGAGGCTAAACAGGCCCAATCAGTAGCTGTAGAACTTAAAATGTTGTTGCCCTCTCAACCCTTGCAACTTTAGTAGGCTCATTGTAAACTCTAATTTCCACAAGGCTTACCAGGGTAGCCAGGGTTCCTCACAACCACTGACTAGGAGGTCCAATTAGACTCAGCAGCATAAATAGTGTCATCAACCTCCCAGCTCCATTTAGGGTTTTGGGCAGCCAATGAGTCAATTTTAGGTAGTCAGGTAGCACCTAAGGCTTGTTGGAGAGATTGGGGTTAGCTTGGCCCGGCCCAGACTTGCAGTGTGGTGGGGGTTTGGGCCTCCTTCACAGGGGCCGGGGGCCGACCTCAAGCCTCCTATTGCTTGAGTGGACGTGTTGGAAGGCAACTTCAAAATGAATCTTCTAATGTTCACCAAGAGTCTGCTGAACTTAGGATTTCCTATCACTGTGCATCTCCAAACATTGTGGGCCCCAGGAGATCCATAGGAAGAGAAGGAGGAATGCTTCCTGGTGTGCTGCCATCTACAATCCTCCTACTCTACCCACTTCTCCTCAGGAAGGGATACCCTCAGAAAGTGTACAGGAGAGGATATGTCTGAACATCAAGCTGGAGTATAATTCTCAGCTGAAGAAGCTGTGTTAGTTCTAACTGAGTTGGCATGCCAAAAATAGAGTGCAGTTGTGGCAGCACGAGTGGCAGGAGGGGCTCAGTACCAGAGTGCATGCCTGTCCAAGACACTATGTAAGTACTTGGGATGGCTAGTCTCTCCCACTGCCCTGGCTACACTCTATTTTTAGTGTGCCAGCTCTATCAAAGCTAGCATGGCTCCTCAAGCCAGAAGTTATACCCCCAGGCTGATATGCAGACACACTCTAAACTACAGGCAATGCAGAATTTTCAAAATGCCTTTAAAAATGTAAGATACCTCCAAAATGTGCACATACAGTTTGGCAGTTGGTAAGACACAATACTCCCCTGGCTGGGTTTCTAACTCCTGTAAAAAGGAGTAGAGTGTATGTCTGTTTTGAATTTGAAAGTGGTTTTCTCTATGTACACAGTGACAACATACAAACCCAATGCATAAACCATATTGGCAGCTTGACTGGAGAGAAACTTTGCAACAGAGTGTTTTGATGTAAATTTATCACAACCTAATTCATACTATAGCAATACAACCACTTTACTTGCATTTCCTGATGACTGTTAATTTACTCAAATGTGTGTTTTGGCTTTTGCTGCCCTGACTAAAACCAGCCCAGAAACTCAGGATTTCTCGTTCGCAGGAAATTTTGATATTTTGACATTTGGTTTTGTTCTGATGTCAACAAATGGCCATTTTCCCAATCAGCTCTAGCCACAACTAAGACAGAGTTAGGGTTGTGCTTATCATGTGAGTGAGACTCTGTAGCTTATTGTGGAAGTGCAAATTGAATTCCAAGTTTTCTGGGTTTCTCACATTTGATAGTTCAAGTTAAAAAAAATTCTTGAAAGGTAATATATACTCAAAAAACTGATACTGCTTCATTTTAAGATTTTTTTTGTTTTGGAATAACCACCATGAATCAGGCAAGCCAGAGATTCCTGAATTAAGAATAGGAGTACTTGTGGCACCTTAGAGACTAACCAATTTATTTGAGCATAAGCTTTCGTGAGCTACAGCTCACTTCATCGGATGCATACTGTGGAAAGTGTAGAAGATCTTTTTATATACACACAAAGCATGAAAAATATCATACACATTGTAAGGAGAGTGATCACTTTAGATAAGCTATTACCAGCAGGAGAGTGGGGTGGGAGGAGGTATTTTTTCATGCTTTGTGTGTATATAAAAAGATCTTCTACACTTTCCACAGTATTCATCCGATGAAGTGAGCTGTAGCTCACGAAAGCTTATGCACAAATAAATTGGTTAGTCTCTAAGGTGCCACAAGTACTCCTTTTCTTTTTGCGAATACAGACTAACACGGCTGTTACTCTGAAACCTGAATTAAGAATGAGGCTTCTTCCTTCACTTGTGAAAAAGACACAACAGTTCCAAAGGGCTTAGTCTAAGCATCAATTCTGGAGACACCAACACATCAAAATGATATTAAATAAAGTAATTTTGAAGTCAGCGACAGAAATTTTTTCCTGCAAGTCCTGGAATTCTAGCAGGTGAGCATGAAGCATTTTACATTGCCAAATTGTGTGGGTAAAATGACACTTGACAGAATTGAGCTGTCTGTTCCAAAACCTCCTAGGCAGAACACATTCTGTGGTAAATGACTTTATTAAACAGAAAAATCACTTTCAGTTGTCTAAGTGTAACAGGGTGTTTTATTACCTTCTACCACCTCCATTTCTTCTGTGTCTTCATCCTCTTCATTCTGTGCAACACCGATGACTGCAAGAACGGAATGTATATTACAAACCTAACACTACGCACTCGGGTTTAAAAAAATTAATAAAATACAACCTTGCTGGCTGCTATGTTGAATCCAGCACCTGTTTCTTACCTGGCTTTTCCATTGTTTGTGGAATAATGCCACTTTTGTCTTTGATAGGAAGCAGGTGAATAAGTTCTTTTTCTGGCTCAGTCTGCATGTGCCTTGGCATTTTCTCATATCTGTCAATCACGCTTTCCTGTTTTCGTTTCTTGAAATGAACAGGTTCACTGTATAGTGCAAGACAGACTATTTAATTCATCAACAAATTAGATATTAACTGTAAATTCAAAGTACACTGCAAAATTAAACTCCTAAAAAAAAAAAAAAAGTCATGCAGTACATCATGAACAGAACATCCGAGTGAGTTTCAGTGTCAGTTTCAGTTGCCTCTCCAGTTATTCACTGTTCTATGAATAAAAATGAACAAAAAATCAACCCTCCTGTTCACCTCCAATGTTTAGTAAACTTAGATATGAAATCATGATGGCTTACTTAACCTAAAAAGAAAAGGAGTACTTGTGGCACCTCAGAGACTAACCAATTTATTTGAGCATCAGATGAAGTGAGCTGTAACTCACGAAAGCTTATGCTCAGATAAATTGGTTAGTCTCTAAGGTGCCACAAGTACTCCTTTTCTTTTTGCGAATACAGACTAACACGGCTGTTACTCTGAAACCTAATTAGTGTGGCTACTATCAGTCAAGATGCTTTGGGCCAAACATGTAGTAGCTGCAAAGAAGAGAGCAGTAGAAAGAGGCCTCACTGTCATAAGATCTGCCATAGCAAACAGACCAGTGTCCTAGTTTTAGTCTGGTGTGCCATCTCCTTTTACAAGCGGTCATAACTTAGTTTGTTTTCATTCCGTTCAGACTCCTAACCTGTATATGTTTATATGTGACTACATATGTCTGTTTTGTAAATAATAGATAACCGTCATGGTCCGGCAGGCCCAGATCCACAAAGGATTAGGCATTGCAATGCCTAATTTTTAGGCACCTAGAAAATCAATGGAACAGCAGCAGGATCCACAAAGCCTGAGATAGTGGCCTAGGGAACGCACAGGAAGAAATAGACGCCTGAGAATGCAAAACACAAATCCAGCAAGCTAGGCAGGGAGCTGCCCAAACTAGCCAATGGACAATGCCAATGAGAGGGGTATGTCCTCAGCCCTGCCCCTCTCACAGTTAGGCACCTAAGTCAGGACTGCATGGGGGTATCTATATGTTTGCAATGCACAGCGAGGAACCCCTCTTCTGGAGTCAGGCAGCTTAGGCACCTAACCTGTTTCTTGTGGGAAGGAGTTAGAGAAGTGCCTAACTCCATGCCTAACAGTCAGAGGAGGTGATGCCACTGTCACCCTGCCTTATAATTTTTAGCCAAGTGGTTAGAGCACTCTCCTGAGACGTGGGACACCTGGATTCAATTACCTCCTCTGCCTGATGAGAAGGAAGAATTTGAAAAGGAGCCTGCTACCTCTCTGGAGAGTGTTCTAGCCACTGGGCTATGGGACATTTTAATGTGGGATCCCTCACTCTCTCCTGTTGAAGCTGTTCCACCTTCAATAAATAATTAAAGAGTCATTAGAGCAGGGGGACTGGACTTTACAACTCCCATCTCCCAGGCTACAGAGTCTCTCACTCTCTTTCTCTGGCCCAAGTACTTCAATTAATCATTGGGCTAAAAACTTAGAAGGGAGGCACAACCACCTCTACCTCTGGCCAGATTTTGAATGGGGCCTGATCCAGTAGATATATTCAGAGCACTGAACTAAGCCCTGCAGTCAGTGATGAGCTGCCAAAATCTTAACAACCTGTTCCCTCCTCACCCCACAAGAGGGTCGTGGCTCGCCCCCGCCCCCTGGGACTCCTGCCCCATCCATCCCCCTCCCCGTCCCCTGACTGCTCCCAGAACCAGGCAGGAGGGTCTCGTGGGCCACCGTAGTGGGTGCCCACCCCGCCCTTAAGAGCCAGAGGGACCTGCCGGGGGGTGAGGTGGGAAGTCCCGGTGTTGCTTACCTGGGGCAGCTCCCAGGAAGCATCCGGCAGGTCCCTCTGGCTCCTAGGGGCTGGGTAGTGTAGCTAGGGGGGGAGCAGGGGGAGCGGTCGCTCCCCCCATTGATCACATCAAAAGTGGTGCCTTAGGTACCGACTCTGTGGGTGCTCCGGTGCTGGAGCACCCATGGGGAAAATTTGGCAGCTCCCCACCCCGCCCTGCCCCAGCTCACCTCCAGCTGTTCACGCAGGAAACCTGAGAAGCAGGCGGCAGCTTTGCGCTCAGGCCCAGGGAGGCGGAGGCGAGCTGGGGTGGGGAGTGGTTCCCCTGCACGCCCCTGCCCCCCCCCAGTTACCTGCTGCAGTGCGGGCGGCCCTTCTCACGCCCCCCGCCCCAGCTCCCCTCCGCTCCGCCTCCTTGGGCCTGAGTGCGAAGCTGCCGCTTGCTTCTCAGCCCTCCCAGGCTTCCTGCGCGAACAGCTGATTCGTGGGAAACTGGGGGAGGAGAAGCAGAGCAGGGCAGAGCATAACTCAGGAGTGGAGGGGGAGCGGAGGTGAGCTAGGGTGGGGAGCTGCCAGTGGGTGCTCTGCACTCACCAAATTTTCCCCGTGGGTGCTCCAGCCCCGGAGCACCCATGGAGTCGGCGCCTAAGGTGCCACTTTTGGCCGGTTGTTAAATTTAGAAACCCTTTTAGAACCAGTTGTCCCACGAGGCTTCTAAATTTAACAACCGGTTCCAGTGAACTGGCTATAGTTAAAATAGGCACCATTCCCCCAGTTTATGGATCACGCTGGCGTTTAGGCAGGAGATGGGCACCAAGACTGTGGCAGCAGCAGACATGCCCAGAGGCAGAAATTAAAGCACTTTTACAGCAAAACTTTAGGCACTGAGTGAATGTAGGGGCCTACAGAGTTACATGGCAGCCGAGTGAGGATTTTGTGGTTGTAGTGGAGTCTACAACTGGAACTTAGGTGCCTAAATCCCTCTGTGGATCTTGGCCATAGTGGCTACATTGCAGATGTTTCTATGAACTTTTCACAATTGATAAGAATAAAAGGGAGAAGAATGGGGGATTTTTTAAAATTGGAAAATGCTACATTCTGTGCTTTAGAAGACAATATGAAAGTAACAAAAATTTGGCACAGTAGCTAATTTTCAAATGTTTATCTCAACAATTTAAAAATGTCTTTTTTAAAATGAAAAGAAACTAGGTCAAACTAAAAGATCCACAGCTTGCACAATGTCATTCAATAAATATACACGTTTAGAGTTTTCCAAGATCTATTTCAGATGTTCTGTAACAGTTGGAAACAGAGTTGTGTTTTAAAAATAAAACTGTATCTTAGCTAACAACTTGTAGACCAGCTACAGCATTTTACGCAGCACGACAGAATGCAGGAGTGCTGTAACTCTGTATGTCAAAAATTATTTTTTAGTATATTTCAAAAACTGGTCTACATTAATAGTTTATAAATTTAACAAAATCATTTGAATTAGGATTAGCATAAATAAGTGTTGGAAGCAGAACATTTCTTCCTCCTTTTAAAAAGTCAAAATTAATTCCAAATCAATATTTTTTTAAAAAAAGAAAGTACTCTGAGCTGATACTTTCTATGTCAAATTAAGAAATTTTTTTATAACCCATTAAACAGAAAAGTTGAGTTTACACTGGAAATTAGAACAAACTATTAACTTCACAGTACCCATGACAGGTCATGGCATTTCCTACTGGTTGCCAAAGGATATTGTTAAGAAGTAAAGAAAAGATACTATAATTCTGCTCCTCTATAGGACTGAGAATCCTGCAGAGATCCTATTTCAGGAAGTGGAAGAAATATAGGGTAATTTATTTCTCTGGAGATATCACCTTCCAAAATTTTCACTCACCCGCCCACTCTCCCCCACACAGACGTTGCAGGTCCTTTTTTTTTTTTCCCTCTTCGTATCTGCATCCAAAGCTTATCATAATTGCATTTAAGGCATGAAATTTTTCAAACTATTCTCATAATTGGCTTAACACTGCAGGGAAAGTCTTTGTATTCGGTTCAATCAAGAATTGACCTGAATTTTCAAAGGACAGTGGCTGGAAGTCCAGGGAAGCATGTGACCATGAGTAGGAGATTGGTTCCTTCTCCATAGCTGCTATCACTGCGTGTAGGAACCGAAAAACATCTTGAGCTTTGGGGATTCCATCTGCCTCATGCTAGGGAGTTGAGACAGGAGTGAAAATTGTGCAGACAAGGTATCTTAGGAGAAAGTAATTTCCCAGCATAAGAGGAAAGCTACAGTAGTGCTGATGAATGTGTTAATAGAAAATGTGTGACTAGATCAAGTAAAGTCTAAATAGGAAGTATTTATCAATCTCACTACAGCTTATAGACTGTAAGAGTATATGAGAATACTTACCTAGAAGAAAGGTCTCTCGTTACAAATGATGCTTTTTGAGCCAAATCTTCCATTAATTTCAGGTCATCTTCATCCATCATATCTAGTGGAAGTGCTTCCTCTTCCTCCTCTTCCTCCTTTCTTTTAGCTGTATCAGAAGACAATGGACAGACTTGTGAGCCACTGCACTTGTGTGCAAACTTGAAAATGCACCTTTCCTGTATTTGTCAATCTTCTCAGCTCCACACTTCAGCCCCAATCCTACAAACACACATGCTGAACTTTATTCCTGTGATTAGACCCATTTACAATAGTAGGACTACTCCTATGAGTAAAGTCACTCATATTCATAAGTATTTGCAAAATCCAGGACCTTAAGTCTTCCTGGCTCCACAATCATTATCTAGATAATAAAAAAAGGACCTCATCAATCTCAGTAGGCCAAATAAACCTGACTTTGAAGAACAGTCCCATCTAAAAGGATTTAGTTTGGGGCAGTCATGCCCAATTAATTCTTTCCTTCATATTTCTACTGTTGGGAAGGTGTTTTTGTTCTCTTTCTAAAGAAAAAGAAGATAAAAACTAGCACAAGTGCATTCTGCATCACACCATGTGCAAGCTCCATCACTGAATCTATATGAACATTTCTGACATGCTTAAGTGATATGTGGGCTGTTTCTAAAAAGATAGAATAGTCAGGAATTCAGGTTCAAAATAGCTTTTGAATCTGAATCTATAGGAATGTATAAACTTGACAGTCGGAAAAATAACAGGCTCAGGATTTAGTCTGGAACAGGAGACAAGAAGGTGAGCAGTGCAGTCACCAAACATAATACTGAACATAAATTGGTCCAGAGAGAAATCTATGCAGGCACTCTTGAGGAGAAGAAAAGAAAATTCAGAGACGACAAGAATAAAAAAAAAAGAGATTGTCTGAATATTGAAGCATAAGTTTGTCTTTATAATGGGAAACTCTGATGTCATACTTTTCCTGCAGTTCATTTTGTAAAGCACTGCATACTGTTTACTCTTGCATAAAAAATAATATAAGCATTATTACAATTTTCTCACCACACTCCATGCACATAACCCTTTGATGCAGAGGCAAAGAACTGACTGATAATCTACAAAAAGGCAAGTCAAGACTCAAACATCTGTACATATCACTAATGGCAGTATCAGAATAAAGAACAATTTGTAACTATTGGGTTCAGCTCTGGTTTCACTAGATGTAAATTACAATGTCATGCTTACCTCTCATCCCCCATCTATGCAAAATAGATCAGAAACCTTGCTAAATTTACTACCTGACACAAGCGAACACTCACCTGCATGTTTTGTCTTGTATTCTTCCAATGGAACAGATGTTCTGGATGTAACATCTTTGACAGCTTGCCTAAGTTTTCTTTGCTCTTTTCGATATTTCTTAGCAATGCTCTCATGCTTAAACTGTTTATTCTTTAACTTGTTGTCAAGCTTTATTTTACTAGTTTTCAGCAACTTGCGAAAGCTTGGAACTCGTTTTTTATTTTTTCTCTGGAAACCAACAGAAAACTTCAGTTAACTGATTCATGTTTATTTTTGTTTTAAAAAAAGAAGAGAAAAAAAGCCAAAATCACACTACATTTAAGCAAAAGATTTAAACCAGACACGCTAAAGCTCACTAACACCCAAGCTGGATAACAAATTTCTTGTGAACAGAGATTTCTGTGTTTAGGTTTAAATATACCCAATTCCTAATTAGTGAAATTAATTGCATTAAGCAGAATAATGCTTAAACAAATGGGCCAAAGATTTTACAGAAACATTTCTGAACAATCCTAATTCTATAAAAAGAAAAGGAGTACTATTATTATTATTTGAGCATAAGCTTTTGTGAGCTACAGCTCACTTCATCGGATGCTGTAGCTCACGAAAGCTTATGCTCAAATAAATTTGTTAGTCTCTAAGGTGCCATTAGTACTCCTTTTCTTTTTGCGAATACAGACTAACAGGGCTGCTACTCTGAAACCTAGTTCTATAAATATCCAGCACAGAAAGCAATGCAGTTTTAATACAGTCCTATAGCACATACGTAGCGGCCTCTTGTTTAGGAAGGATTATTAGGAAAGAGGTGATGGGACAGCTCCAGCAACAGTTGACATTCAGACTACCTCTGCCCCCATTATTCAGGTTCCAGACATGGATGCAGAAATGTGACCATACTGATATTTCTGTGATCTGTTCCTAGGGTAAGCTGTACAGCATGTAGCAGGATGGAGTCCTAGTTCATGACTAGGGCTCCCAAGTGCCATGGTAGTACAAACAATATCCCTGTTAATTTTATTATCAGCAGTCTTTGAAGCCAATTTGCAAAAGATATCAGGGATCTGCTTCTGAGATATCTGTAGGGGTGATGACGTGAGCATTTCAAAAGGTGCCGGCCTTGCTCCCAAAGAGGTGTAAGAAGGCCAGCGCTGCCTCTTCACATGAGGGCTTTCCACATAATTCACAGTCCTCCTCTATCTCCTCACCCTTCCTCTTCAATACCGGGCCTACGGGCCTATGTGCGCCCCCGGGTGCTGCTGACAAGGAGGCGCAGACACAGGGAACTTTGAGAACCCCGGGCCCGCCTTGGAGAGGCTGCGCGGGCCTCAGCAGCCAGCCGGGCTCGGGGCACGAGCCGCCCATGTATCACCCCCAAAACGACACCACAGCCCGTAACGCCCCCGATCCCCACACGGCCCGGCTCTCCCTTTCACAGCGCCTTGTGCCCCCCAGCGACACCGAGCACTTACCCCGCTCCACTCTCCCTCACAGGACCGTGCCATCAGCAGCCGCCCTCCCAAGGCCTGGCTCTCCCCCTCACAGCGCCTTGTGCCCCGGCCTCCCCCACAGCCCCCACTCGGCCCTCCCCCTCACAGCACCTTGTGCCCCCTGTCCCGGCCTCCCCCACAGCCCCCACTCGGCCCTCCCCCTCACAGCACCTTGTGCCCCCCGCTCTCCCCTCACAGCGCCTTGTGCCCCGGCCTCCCCCACAGCCCCCACTCGGCCCTCCCCCTCACAGCACCTTGTGCCCCCTGCCCCGGCCTCCCCCACAGCCACAGCTCCCCCGGCCCGGCCCGGCTCTCCCCCTCACAGCGCCTTGTGCCCCGGCCTCCCCCACAGCCCCCACTCGGCCCTCCCCCTCACAGCACCTTGTGCCCCCTGCCCCGGCCTCCCCCACAGCCACAGCCACAGCCCCCCCGGCTCGGCTCTCCCCCTCACAGCGCCTTGTGCCCGCCCAGGCCCGGCTCCGAGCCCCCCACAACCACAGCACCAGCCCCCCCCCCGGCCCTCCCCCAGAGGGCCCCGTTTCCAAGCCCGGGTCCCCCCCGGCCCCGCAGACCGAGCCCCTCACCGGCTTCATTGTGGCGGCTCTGGGGGTCCCGGACACACGTGGCAACAGACCGCTGCGCAGGCCCGGAAGCGCGGGGCGGGGCTGAGCTGCCTCACAGCGGGGCGTGTTTGGCCGCGCCCACACACCCCTGAGACGTGTGTGACCCCGCCCCGGGCCTAGAGTCGCCCTGCTCCATTCCAACCCCGCCAGCGAGCTGAGGCTGCAGCGGCCTGGTTGAAGGGCCCGGCGCCCCTCCTGCACGCCCACACGTGAGGCAACAGCTGCAGCAGTAGCCCTTGAAACCCTAGGACCTCTCGCAGCGTCTGGTTTATTTTGCTGAAAGCGCGAAAACCATTCACAGGCTTGTCTCTCCCTGGGGCGTTGATCCTGGCTAGCTGCATGGGTGGCGACTCCTGGTCCAGGCTACATGGCCATAAGAGAGTCAATCAGGAACAACTCCATGAAAATAAGTTGTTGCTGGTTTCCAGGTGTGTGGGTTTCGACTGGAGCACCCAGTCAAAAAGGGACCCTGGTGGCTCCTGTCAGCACCACCCAGAGGGCAGTTAAGAGTCCGGTCAGCAGGTCTGGCTCCTAGGTAGTGGACCATGCACCCTCCCCACCCCAAGCACCAGGAGGCTCCACAATGCGGTGCCCGGGGCCAGGCAAGAGTAACACACAGAGGCTCCTACTCCACCCGTGTAGGAGCTGGACCTGGTGCTAGCTGCTTCTAGGGTGCAGCACAGCTTCCCTCATCTCCAGCCCCACCCCAGAGTCCACACCTCAGCCCAGAGCCAGTACTCCCTCCTGCATCCTAGCCTCAACCTACAGTCCCCTCCCACACTCCAAATCTCTCAGCCCCAGCCTGGAGCCTGTTCCTGTAGTGCACACCTCTCATCCCCCGCCCCACCCCAGAGGCCCCCGGTGGAGCCCTCATCCCCTCCTGCACCCCTAACTCCCTGCCCCGTGAACCCTTTATTTCTGGCCCCACCATGCAGGATACACACACGCCCACTTCGAGCCCTCAACCCGAACTCTCTGGCCCAGCCCAATGAAAGTGAGTGAGAGTAGGGCAGAGCAAGCCACCAGGGGAGTGGCAAGGTAGTGACCAGGGGTAGGGCCTTAGGGAAGGAGCAGGGCTAGGGTGTTCAGTTTTTTGCTATTAGAAAGTTGGAAACACTATTCTGGTCAGGAGAATCCAACTGCTGCTACTCGTTCATTTCAACCAAGAGGGGAAAAATATTTACTGGTGCTAGAGAACCTGCCACCCTCACCCAGGGATGCTAGAACAAGTGTTTATAGTGGGGGTGTTGAAGCCATTGAACCAAACTGTAAACCCTGTATATAATGGAAACATCAAGCCAGCACCCCTGCACCCTTAGTTCCAGCACCCCCGCCCTCACCCTACTAACTCATGCCCTAAACCAAAATGACAAGGTGAAACAGAAATCAACATTCCCAACCAGTAATATTCTGGCAAGATTTGAAAGCACCCACTTCAGTATAGTAGCTAGATCACCTACTTACACTCCTGTTGACCTCACACAGCATGAAACCAACTGCTTTTGAAAGCTGTTTCACATGAATTTGAAACAAGTTATAGTGACCCGGTTGGGCAAAAGATAAGTATACTGAACTTTCAAACTGGCTGAAGTTAGAATGATCTGTCTCAACATAAAGCATCAATAAAACAGTTAACGAAAGACTATTTTGTTTGTTTTCCTACATGGAGTTGTTTGGATGTCCCTAAGAAGGTTTGTTACATTCCTGTGAAATTGTGTTGTCCTAGTTTATTTTGCATCAGCAACGCTAGTTTTATAGAGTACCATTCTTTAGCCTCCATTAAGTCAGACTCTTCTACCCGCCACAATCCACATGCTTGTCACCACAGCAACTAGGCCTTCCTGTGAGGAAGGCTGAACTCTTTAGCTCCCCTGGACTGGTACAATATAATCATAGAATCATAGAATATCAGGGTTGGAAGGGACCTCAGGAGGTCATCTAGTCCAACCCCCTGCTCAAAGCAGGACCAATCCCCAATTAAATCATCCCAGCCAGGGCTTTGTCAAGCCTGACCTTAAAAATTTCTAAGGAAGGAGATTCTACCACCTCCCTAGGTAACGCAGTCCAGTGTTTCACCACCCTCCTAGTGAAAAAGAAGTGTTTCCTAATATCCAACCTAAACCTCCCTCACTGCAACTTGAGACCATTACTCCTTGTCCTGTCCTCTTCTACCACTGAGAATAGTCTAGAACCATCCTCTCTGGAACCGCCTCTCAGGTAGTTGAAAGCAGCTATCAAATCCCCCCTCATTCTTCTGCAGACTAAACAATCCCAGTTCCCTCAGCCTCTCCTCATAAGTCATATGTTCCAGACCCCTAATCATTTTTGTTGCCCTTCGCTGGACTCTCTCCAATTTCTCCACATCCTTCTTGAAGTGTGGGGCCCAAAACTGGACACAGTACTCCAGATGAGGCCTCACCAGTGTCAAATAGAGGGGGACGATCACGTCCCTCGATCTGCTCGCTATGCCCTTACTTATACATCCCAAAATGCCATTGGCCTTCTTGGCAACAAGGGCACACTGCTGACTCATATCCAGCTTCTCGTCCACTGTCACCCCTAGGTCCTTTTCCGCAGAACTGCTGCCTAGCCATTCGGTCCCTAGTCTGTAGCTGTGCATTGGGTTCTTCCGTCCTAAGTGCAGGACCCTGCACTTATCCTTATTGAACCTCATCAGATTTCTTTTGGCCCAATCCTCCAATTTGTCTAGGTCCCTCTGTATCCTATCCCTGCCCTCCAGCATATCTACCACTCCTCCCAGTTTAGTATCATCTGCAAATTTGCTGAGAGTGCAATCCACACCATCCTCTAGATCATTTATGAAGATATTGAACAAAACCGGCCCCAGGACCGACCCCTGGGGCACTCCACTTGACACCAGCTGCCAACTAGACATGGAGCCATTGATCACTACCCGTTGAGCCCGACAATCTAGCCAATTTTCTACCCACCTTGTAGTGCATTCATCCAGCCCATACTACTTTAACTTGCTGACAAGAATACTGTGGGAGACCGTGTCAAAAGCTTTGCTAAAGTCAAGAAACAATACATCCACTGCTTTCCCTTCATCCACAGAACCAGTAATCTCATCATAGAAGGCGATTAGATTAGTCAGGCATGACCTTCCCTTGGTGAATCCATGTTGACTGTTCTTGATCACTTTCCTCTCATGTAAGTGCTTCAGGATTGATTCTTTGAGGACCTGCTCCATGATTTTTCTGGGGACTGAGGTGAGGCTGACTGGCCTGTAGTTCCCAGGATCCTCCTCCTTTCCTTTTTTTAAAGATTGGCACTACATTAGCCTTTTTCCAGTCATCCGGGACTTCCCCCGTTCGCCATGAGTTTTCAAAGGTAATGGCCACTGGCTCTGCAATCACAGCCGCCAATTCCTTTAGCACTCTCGGATGCAACTCGTTCGGCTCCATGGACTTGTGCACGTCCAGCTTTTCTAAATAGTCCCTAACCACCTCTTTCTCCACAGAGGGCTGGCCATCTATTCCCCATGTTGTGATGCCCAGCGCAGCAGTCTGGGAGCTGACCTTGTTAGTGAAGACAGAGGCTAAAAAAGCATTGAGTACATTAGCTTTTTCCACATCCTCTGTCACTAGGTTGCCTCCCTCATTCATTAAGGGGCCCACACTTTCCTTGGCTTTCTTCTTGTTGCCAACATACCTGAAGAAACTCTTCTTGTTACTCTTGACATCTCTTGCTAGCTGCAGCTCCAGGTGCGATTTGGCCCTTCTGATTACATTCCTACATGCCCGAGCAATATTTTTATACTCTTCCCTGGTCATATGTCCAACCTTCCACTTCTTGTAAGCTTCTTTTTTATGTTTAAGATCCGCTAGGATTTCACCGTTAAGCCAAGCTGGTCGCCTGCCATATTTACTATTCTTTCGACACATCGGGATGGTTTGTCCCTGTAACCTCAACAGGGATTCCTTGAAATACAGCCAGCTCTCCTGGACTCCTTTCCCCTTCATGTTAGTCCCCCAGGGGATCCTACCCATCCGTTCCCTGAGGGAGTCGAAGTCTGCTTTCCTGAAGTCCAGGGTCCGTATCCTGCTGCTTACCTTTCTTCCCTGTGTCAGGATCCTGAACTCAACCAACTCATGGTCACTGCCTCCCAGATTCCCATCCACTTTTGCTTCCCCTACTAATTCTTCCCGGTTTGTGAGCAGCAGGTCAAGAAAAGTTCCCCCCCTAGTTGGCTCCTCTAGCACTTGCACCAGGAAATTGTCCCCTACGCTTTCCAAAAACTTCCTGGATTGTCTATGCACCGCTGTATTTGCTCTCCCAGCAGATATCAGGAAAATTAAAGTCACCCATGAGAACCAGGGCGTGCGATCTAGTAGCTTCTGCGAGCTGCTGGAAGAAAGCCTCATCCACCTCATCCCCCTGGTCCGGTGGTCTATAGCAGACTCCCACCACTACATCACGCTTGTTGCTCACACTTCTAAACTTAATCCAGAGACACTCAGGTTTTTCTGCAGTTTCGTACCGGAGCTCTGAGCAGTCATACTGCTCCCTTACATACAATGCTACTCCCCCACCTTTTCTGCCCTGCCTGTCCTTCCTGAACAGTTTATAACCATCCATGACAGTACTCCAGTCATGTGAGTTATCCCACCAAGTCTCTGTTATTCCAATCACGTCATAATTCCTTGACATCACCAGGACCTGCTTGTTTCCAAGGCTTTGTGCATTCGTATATAAGCACAATAATTCCTCATTACTGATGGCCTAGCTAACATAGGTTGGCGCTTGGTACCAAGTACATTGTTCCTCTAATTATGAAGAGCTGAGAGAAAGGGGGGAGGGATAGCTCAGTGGTTTGAGCTTTGACCTGCTAAACCCAGGGTTGGGAGTTCAATCCTTGAGGTGGCCATTTAGGGATATGGGGCAAAAATTCGGGATTGGTCCTGCTTTGAGCAGGGGGTTGAACTAGATGACCTCCTGAGGTCCCTTCCAACCCTGATATTCTAGGATTCTTCCAAACAGTTGGATGAATGCCTTTGGTGTCCCTAAGACAGAACTGAACTGACAACTAATA